GCTTTAGCCAGCTCGCCCACCACGCCCCGCGTCACTCGACATACACGTATATATAGAAGTCCGATTGCTGCAGTTATTTCAGAATACGGTGTATATATCTAACACCTCTGGTCACTTAACACACAGTGTTTATTCCACAAGAGTGATATCAAACACACCAAAACACACAACCGTGATATCCACTTTATCATATAAATTCATTCTTAATTCTATCGCCCACAAAGGGCGTTTGGGTAGCTTAGTGGGTACAAACCTGGTTCGTCACCTTCCGAAGGTGCGGGTTCGATTCCCCATACAGACATAATAGGAAATCCGTTTCTGATGAGCCTACTTGATATTGTTGGGAGTGGTATTAAAACATACTCGTGTCCTCACTCATTATCGACAACTCACTCACTAACACCTCTCATATACGGCACCTGAGCAATACAGCTCTGGACTTTGCACTGAAAGCAGGAAGTATTTTAGTTTCAAATGAAACTCGTTTCGATGTAGCCTATTATCCATGTGGTTATGATATATCTAGCCTCCATCTCGGACAGACAAGGGAGACACCGTGTTTGTATGAAAAACATTTAAGTACAAATTACCTGAATGAATGACCTCAATTGTTACTGTTTTTGAGTTCACAACCATCATGTGAAGTAACCTGTCTGATTTGTGATATTAATAGGACTATGCAAAGGTGTCAAAATACCCTTACGTAAATATTCATTTCACCTGATGAGGGAGTAAGAAATAATTTAGAATTGTCTTTTTAAACAAATACTTAGGTTTATATGCACAAACTTTTTGAATAACATACATCAAGGTTGTATAAAAATATATAAATAAGAACTTTTATTCTTACAAAAGGGTATCAAAATATGATCAGTATGACATCAGACACAATCTTATTGAAGACAATAAATTCAATTTTGCAAGAAAATGAAAGATTTAGTGTACATGTATTTTACATATCTTGAAGGGCATTAACAGTCATAATCTGATCTCTCTCTTCTGTCTATCACGTGAAGTGACATGTCTATTTAATTTGTAAGTGTTTGGCATTATTGGAATCTTGACGTTTCAATTAATACAGACCTCATTATTCATTTTATTGAAGGGAAAGATGCAGAAAAGCACGACATTCCGGGTAGTCCTGATGTCAACACTTGTAATCCTGCTGTCATGTACCCCAGCAGGTTGGTAAACAAATAGAGTTTCGCATACCACCAGAACATGATCGCTCAATCACTCGATAATTTTGTGAAATAGTTTATCATGAAGTTTTTATTTCTAGCAGTAAGTACATTCCATACAGATTAATTCAATAATACCGTGCCATTATGTTTTACGATGTGTTTCCTTTAGTGCTAAGATCATTCTCTTTTGTAAATATGTTTTCAATGTAACTGCAGTTGCATCATCAACAACGCCGTGTAACGGGTGTAACGGTAACAACGTTACCTGTGACAATGGCGTGTGTCTACTACGCTGCGTCCGTTTAACGTCATCTGGAGAGTGTCTCCAGTGTCTGGACTCTAGGTTCTATGGTAAACAGTGTGAACATGACTGTCCAGACACCTGTCTCAACTCTCGCTGTCAGATGAACAACACCCGTACCGTGTGTTCAGATGGATGTGTGGATGGTAAGAAAGGAGAAAATTGTGCATCTCTGTGTCCTTCATCTTGCACAAGATGTGAACAAACAGGAGATGCTTGTATTGGATCATGTCAAAACGACCAGTATTACGGTTCACAATGTGAAACCCCATGTCCTGATAACTGTTTGGATGGTTGTAAGAAAGACACGGGCAAATGCAGAAGTTGCGTTGAGGGTTACAGTGGGGAGTACTGTGACAGATGTGTGGAAGGCAACAGGGGAATGTACTGTAATGTTGCCTGTTCTCCATACTGCCAAGATGAATGCGATAAAGACAAGGGTGACTGTGGCAGCTGCGTGGCAGGTTACACGGGGACGTACTGTAATGAAACATGCCCCTCCAACTGTACTCAGTGTGAACAGCATAGTGGGCAATGTATAGGATCATGTCCAGACAGCCAGTACTACGGTCCTTTCTGCTCAATACCATGTCCTGCAAGTTGTGCTGGATGCGACAAGACCACGGGGAGATGTATTCTCTGTGCCGATGGATACACGAGGTGTACGGACGGTCTCTGTCAAAGAGGTGCCTGTGACTCAGGTGAGTCGTGCACACGAGCTTCTACCAAATATCAGACATGTTCATAAGACATATAATATGAAGGTATCTGTAAAAGTATTAGCTTAATATGTAGCAAGATAAATTAATGCATGTAAAAATACAACGGCCTGAACCTATTTGAAATATTACTGCCACTGTCCACTATATAGTATCTTTGTTAATATAAATGAGTGTGTTAATATAGATGAGTGTGATATGATGTACAATATACTATTTACACGGTTTTCCTGTTTCAAAGGTTAGGCATACAATGAGAACAATATTGAACCTTTCCTTTAAAAAGTAAAAACTACATCGGACGCTTTTAGCAATATTAGAGGAAGAGCACAGCGTAATTTGCAAAGGCGTTGTGTCGGTTTGGGGAATTCGAAACTGGACTTTCTGCATGACGAATGAAAACTTCAACCTCTAGGCTCTTCGCTCCAACCATCATTTACGACGCATGTTTTTCACTGCAGGTAACACTATATTGACCCTGAAAGTGACAGCTGGAGTACTGGCAGTGCTTGTGACGCTTGGAACAACCTTAGCTGTGGTCATTCTAACCATACGCAAGAGCAAATGTCAGAATAGGTGAGAATGTTCATGTACCAGCAGAATCATATAGGAAACAATAGTGCAGAGAACTTCCCTAGTCACAGATTCTTGTTTTCTCATATGCAGACACAAATAAAATGTAAATCTGAAATTTGAGAATTGAAAATGCTATGTAGTATGCTTGAAATAACAACATTTTATATAGATACAGCTATATGTTCAATATATATACATGTGTATATTCAATTTAACATGAACTAAACAGTCCTTTTCTTCACAGAAGGGAACCATCTCCCAGTCCTCAGGATCTTGGACAGAGTGATGGCAGTGTGTACTGGGCACACAAGTACTGGGACATCCACGACAAGGATTTGGGATCTGAATCTGACTGTAACAACTTACCTGTGCCTCAGATACCCAATAGATGCCCTGTCCAAAACAAGGATATCCCCTTGGACAATGTTAAAGTCAGAACATCAGTTCCAAGGTTTGATGGTGCAATGTCATCGGCAGATCACGTGGCTTTGGTCCATCAATGTGGACATGATTCGACTTATGAACCGCTTGTTGCAAGAACGCCACAGGTGGACGTAGTGGACAGTGAGGTAGATCATGCAGCAGAGAGGGACATAATAGGTTTGACAGTCAGTAACTCCGATCTACAGACTTATCAGGAAGGGGATGGAGTCATCGACAATCCAGTTCAACAGCGTATTGAGAATCTCATTAGAAAGACGGATTCTATAATAGCTATAGAACAACATCTTGATTTAGCAAGTGTCAATGTGAAATATCTTACACCTGACAAAGTCAACGCTGCTTCAAATACATTGTAATTGGTGAAAAAATGTCCATGAAACCATTTTAGTTGTTAAAAAAAGTGCTTGTTCTGTGTATATCCATATTCCACAATAAAGCTTTCTTTGTGATATGCTGGTATGTATTTTCATATGTGAGGTGTACTGAATATGGGATCTTCAAATAACAACATAGATTAATTTCTCCATTCCTTGATCTTAAATTGTGGGTATGCAATATATATTTCGAAACACTTCCAAAAATAGCCCTTTGTCGCGCGTATATGTTCGAGACAAACCTAATTTCATTCTCATATTTATAGGCGCAATAAGGTTCCTTTTGAGCTGTTACGAAGCAATGTCACAGTTGTTTTCACATGTAGTTTTTTTAACATGCACACATGACAACTTACACGTACCTTCACATCTACGAGGAAAATGAAAACCCGTGAAACATACATATACATGAATTTCAGTCTTTACCAAACTTAGTCTATCATATGACGTCATGGTGAAGAGTTTGGGCGATTAACTTCAAATCTAGAGGTTCGAAAGTAGCATGTAAACAAAGCAGCGCAGTATTAATATTCCAACATTTGTTGTTTTTATAATATAAATGTATTTTTATCTACTTGAGTGAATGAGTACGTGAGTAGGGTTTAACATTTTCCCAGCCATATCATGGCTTGTAAACCCAGTGTGGGTTTAAGATCTAAAGTGACGAACAAGATTCGAACTCATGATCAAAGGTTTCCGGAGTGGGCAAGGGAAGCAACTCTGGACAGTGAATTGTGATCCTGTAGACAACTTAGTCATCCAATTTCCTGATCTAGCTTGAAAGATTAATTACAATTACAATTACAATTACAATTAATTATTGCCAGGATGACATTTACATTCGTAGAACATGAGATATACTATATCAAATAGACTTCACATGTGTTACTTTATGTCTCGAACATACACATATAGAACAAAGTTTGTGGATCAGTGTGGTGTATGGATGTAATGAGCGTACACTGAACAGGATTAGGCATGAAGTTGCCCTTGGTGCCTCATCCATAGACAACAGTAGCACGATGGGTGACATTTTGATTTCACAGGGACTAGCCATCTGTACTGTCACTTGTTCAGTACCGTTTAATGTTCCCCATAATAATTTTAGGTACATGAATTTGTGTTCACGTGACTCCGCAAACGTGCTGCGCTGCATGCACCCCGCGTGGTTCTCCATAGTTGAAATGGTCAGATGCGTCAGATTGGATCTGGCATTATAATATTCGTCATATTTACCTTGTACTACCTTGTACTACTCATTTCAATATAATTAAGTTCTCCAAGTATGAAGTTTCTGTTTTGGTTCAGTATATAACATCATTAGTCACGATGTAAATTATAGTTCAAATTTCCTTGCAATGAAGGTCAAATACTCGTGGATGACGGGGAATATAACGCAGCTCCGATGAGTCATATGTGTGCTTGCTATGCAGGTAGTCAACATACATCTCGGGGCTCCAGGGATTCCTCAAGATTAAGTACGTGTCTATTTAAACGAAGACACGCCTTTCATAACAATCAGTGATATTGGCTGCAGTTACCGTTTCCTCATAATGTTTGTTTTGTTGGTTTGAAGGAGGACATGTAACATGCAACTAGTTTGTTAAGAAGACGACTGCCCACTTGTGGAGGTAACTAGTTGAAAACTGTCGGACACATCGGATTCATAAAGGTAATTTTAAGTTATGCTCATAATAATAATCATCATCATGAGGGCTTGTATATTCAATGTATTGCATTCAAGTTACAAATACAATTGTAAAAGCAACACGTCTGATTGCTGTTGATATTCGCATCCTCGTATGTGATCAGGACAGTTGTTTTTGAATAGAGGTAACAAATACTATAATACTATAGGTTTGTTTGGAAACCAACGAGCTTTGGTATAGTAAACGTAATCCACGCAAACCAGTATTGGAACAAATGATCATTGTGTCATTATTGCTTGATATATCACGACCATAGATGGTTCTGTTACTTCATGATGTGTATTACTGTATTTCCATGTAGGAATATGGTGCCTTTCTTTCTGGTATTGCGACCCCCGGTGTTCTGTGTGATGGCGGCTATATGCATGGTACCCATTGTAACAGGTTTGTTCTCAACTCAAATATGTTATGATGAACGAAGAAAAATATCATGAATACTACAAGTAAACAATGATTACTACTGAACAGAAAGGAACATATACATATAATTTTAAAATGGTAAAATACGAGATTACTTAATCAGATTATGGTACTATCTTTGGCAATTTGTAGTCATTGTTATTATACTGAGCTCAAACATGTTTCAACAATACCAGCAGAACCTATTCATTCATAATGCAAAGCGTCAGTATTTATCACTGTTGTCCAAGGTCCTTCACCGTGCTCCGCCTGTAACAGCAACAACGTGACCTGTGCCGACGGTGTCTGTGTGCCTCGCTGTGTCAACGTGACGTCATCTGGAGAGTGTCTTATGTGTCGTGACATCCGATTTCATGGTGTTCAGTGTGAACATGTCTGTCCAGACACATGTCGCAACTCTCGCTGTCAGATGAACAATTCACGTGTCGTTTGTACAGAGGGGTGTGTGACTGGGAAGAGGGGAGACAACTGTGGTGTAGACTGCCCGCCATCTTGTACACACTGCTTTGGGGATGAATGCATAGGTCCATGTTTGAACCCTGGGTATTTTGGTCCCAAATGTGAAACAACATGTCCCGAGGACTGCAAGAATGGTTGCAATAAAAGCACAGGGCGATGCAACACCTGTTCTGAGGGTTACATGGGAAACAGCTGCACCGAAGTATGCCCCTCTGGGTGTAGAGATGGGTGTGACCAGAACACAGGCGTGTGTCACAGCTGCAAACCCTGGTACAGTGGGGAGCACTGTGACACATGCCAGACAGGGTACCGTGGGAAGTACTGTAACATTAACTGCCCTGCCTTATGTACAGCATGCGAACGCCATGGGAATAAGTGTATAGGACGATGTCTAAATATCTGGAATTACGGTCAATATTGTAATCACTCGTGTCCATCTAACTGCAGAGAGGTTTGTGGTAAATTAACAGGGGTGTGTGATAGTTGTGTGCCCGGATATAGAGGCACATTTTGTAATATTTCCTGTCCAGTAAACTGCACAGAGTGTAAGCGTTTAGCTGATGATTGCGTGGAGCCATGTACAGATCGCAGGTCCTATGGGGAAGCCTGCCACCGTGACTGTCCAGTCAACTGCATTGGTGGCTGTTACAGACTGACAGGCGACTGCATCAACTGTAAACCTGGTTACAGAGGAAGATACTGCAAGCTTCGTTGTGAGGATGGAGCGTGTAATCAAGGCAAACATACCTTGTTTATACTAGTTTTGTTTTCCTCAGAAATGTTTTCTGAGTACATAATTTAGTTTCGGTCATATGATGAACGTATAACCGGCAATAAAATTACTTGTAAATGAGATAAGACATCTGAATTCCTGTATAAAAGCGGCTGGAACATTGTTATGCTTTCTAGTCATGAGTTAATTGGTAATTATGTAAGGGCACGTTCAATGTTTTGTCTGCTCAATCAAATTAATGCGATAGCAACTTTCTAAATAATATGAAAAGTTTTATGAACGCATCAAAGTTTTGTTCTATGTTTTCAATTTATTAGTAAATCTTTGCTAAACGTTTACTTTTGTGTTATCATGTATGCATGTCGTTATAGGTGACCCGAGGCTGACCACGAAAATCGTCAGCGGCGTGCTGGTTGTGGTGGTGCTGCTAGGTTTGGCTGCAGCTGTATCAGTGCTGATGAAGCGTTATCGATGCCGCAGTAGGTAAGTATAGCAGATATGTAGTCAGATTGGTAAACGTATATACCTCTTTGCAACGGCGTGTCAATTAACACAATTCAATTGTACCACATACTCTATACCTTAACATGGTGATTTCCGTGTCCTTCTTTGGATTATCTAGCCTTTCTCAGATTTCAATGCAGATGATAAGCTAGAATTGAATATACATTATGGTATATTGTCAAGTATTCAGTCGCGATTGGTATAGGTTTATCATTAGGCATGTGTCATCGAAGCTTTATATAAATTCTTTCAATGTGTTTATCAGCCATTTGTGATACAAGAGTAGGAAACTAGTAGTAAATACATTCTGTGTTTGTCTTTGCCAGTCAGGTTCCTGCCTCCTGCCGAACTGACACAACACGTCGATGCAACTGTGGCGATTACTGGACTCACAGATACTGGGAAATAAATGAACAGGATGTCAACTCCGATCAACGTGCAGAACAAGCATCTCGTCCTTCTGCGCGTAGTTCATGTTCAGTTGCTACAGCAGACACGGCTGCTGGGAGAACAGCAGAATCGGAACAGGAACAGCATGAATCCAATACAATAGAGGACCAAAACGTAAACCCTGATCCAGGGACTCCCAATACTGAAACATGTCATGGGTCTGACACTGGGGCGGGATTAGATATGTCTGCTTCGTTTTGTGAAGCACGTCCAACTGTGAAGTACCACGATGATAATGATGATGGCTTGTTCCCTTTTACTGAGTCTTCAGTACTGAATAATGGGGACGATTCAATTCTTGCCTCAGCTAAAAGTGAAACTGATATTGATTATTGTCAGATGTCACTCGACACAAAAAGGTTGATTGAAAAGACTGATTCAGTTCTCTTCATTGAGAAAAACTGCGACTTGTCAAAAGTCAGCGTCAAATACCTCACGCCAAAGTCCCAAACTTAAATCATCTGGCATGTAAATCATTGCCCTTTATCTTTTACAATGTACAGAAAAACGATTGGAATGTACACATATAGAGTAGAAAATAAAAATGTAATCACATCCTCGTTTTGTTCATTTTGATGTAATTTTCAACCCTTCTATTATCATGTATTCCATGGATGGAGAGATCTCTGACCTGAGCCAGCACTTCATGTGCTGTGGGTGAGTGAGTGAGTGTGTTTAGTTTTACACCGCACTCAGCACTATTCCAGCTATATGGCGGCGGTCTGTAAATAATCGAGTCTAGACGAGACAATCCAGTGAACAACAGCATCATGTGCTATGTAATATTAACCATTAGCATAATGTTATGTGCTCAGCCAATGTACAATACAGTGTGTTTGGATAGAATCTTGGCATCAGTGTCTAAAATATAGCACGTGTTATACCTAATATTGCACTTTTCAAGTAAAATAGAGATTCTAGTTCATGGTGAGCTTACAAAATAATCAAGAAACCTTTTCTCTCAGAACACTGAAGTTGAGGAGCAAGAACTATGACATTTGTAATGAACCGTACTGAGCCGCTGGATTCTAGGGGGTTTCTAGGGTTTCCCCCAGTCCCACACTTAACCATTCTGATGTTTGGTTTGTTTGTTGTTTAACGCCGCACTCAGCAGTATTCCAACTGTATGGCAGCGGTCTGTAAATAATCGAGCTGGGACCAGACAATCCAGTGATCAACAACCTGAGCATCGACCTACACAATAATTGTTGGTACATGTATACAATTACATGTGCCAACCGTGTCAGCGAGAGAGACCACCCCATCCTGTTAGTCGCTAAGTATGGGTTGCTGAATTCTAACCCTGATTTTCATTGAAGTGGTATCAGTTGGCATTAAAGTGGTGTCAGTTGGCATTAAATAGGTATAATACGTATAGGTAGGATGAGATTATAACGTTACTAGTAATGTTCACAGGCAGCTTGGCTTGTACAGACGTCAAGAAACACGGGAGGAAAATCGGGGGCACAGAAATCAATTAACCGTGGCGAAAATGTACGCTTTGAACATGATATCTACACAAAAAAGAGCATCAATTATTACAATAATTCATTATCTAATTTTATGTACCAATATTCACCGTAACACACCAGTAGCAGAGATGTAGTTTCATTCCTGTACAGATTTCACATACAGCTGACACAGGGGTACAATGGATAAGTTTTGGTTTAAAACAAAATACATCGACATTGAAAAACGATCATTGTCCTTTGGCTTTTGTTGAATAATTTAAAACAATAGCTTCAGGACATAATCATTTCTGTGTTTCTTTTTCAGTTACAGTTTCCTTGTAGTTAAATCATGCGACATGCGATTTTGTAATAAATGTATTTATATTGTTTACATAAAGAATTTCGGAAATAGATAAAAGCATCATATGCACACAAATGTCGATATATATTCCTCATCAAACAGTCGCGATACATTTCCAAAAGTGTAATAACACACAAAACAGGACATAGCATTTAACCGAATAACCGGAAGCTAGTATTTGTTTTGTTGTACAATGTATGCTCATGATGGTAGTGTAAACTGAGAAGCGTCTGAATAGAACTGACATGCATACATGCATGTATGTCCTTGATTTACGTAATGAGGTCAGGTGTGGGGAATATTGTTCCTACAACATGATGCTGAATTCACAATACATGAATTGCTACTTGATTTTGTTTTTTGTATGTGCTTGTTTTCGGTGCTGGGTTTTGAGTAAATTTATTGAAAAAAGCTTCAAATAGTATTATCACATAGGTTGAATACTAATTATTGTTTGCCCCACAAAAACCTACAGACATGCAGGTATATGTATCATGAATATAAGAATATGATTGTTAATGTGAACACAAAATTCAGGAAGGTCAATGTATGCTGAACATTCATAGGTACACAAAATATCAACACATACTGTTCGGTAGTAAATCTGGACTGCCAAACTCGTAATTAATTGTATTAACATTGAAACTTCCCTGTCATTAGTTTCATGATACTGAAGGCCCGCCCGTGTCACAAAATAGTTGTGAGACAAGGTTCACGTCAGTCATGCTGGTTCTAGCGAAGTTGCTGCTTTTCGAAACAGGTATGTATTTTGTTGCAACATAGTAAATCGGGTATGCTCGTCTGGTTAATTGCTTTGGTATTATCGAAAACTCCAAACAGGGTATATGTTTCTACAATGTATGGACACATGGTAGTAAAACACCGCGATTGTGTGTGTTGTTTGCTGTGGGATACAATGCAGGAAAATATCCTGAAATTCTGGAGACATCATTGAAGTTTTAAAGTGGTTTATGTGTAGTGAGATTTTTATTATTTATTGCATATTTTGCAGGGAATCTGTTTACTGAAATGTGACAGAAAACCCAATATGAATACATATCGAATTTACAAACCTTTAGAGCTCTTGTCTTCTGCTGAACTGAAGGAATCGTTTAAATGCGTATAAATGCATGGACTGTTTAACATTGTTTGGGCTTGAGTCTGAATATAGATTTGGGTCTCACTGCAGCACTAGCTATTTCTTCGAATACACCTTGCACCAACTGTGACGGTAACAACGTGACCTGTGTTGACGGTGTGTGTCTACCTCGTTGTGTCAGCGTGACGTCATCGGGACAGTGTCTCCAGTGTCTGGACTCCAGCTTCTATGGTAAACACTGTGAACATGACTGTCCAGACACCTGTCTCAACTCTCGCTGTCAGATAAACAACACCCGTGTTGCGTGTGCAGAGGGATGTGTGGCCGGCAAGAAGGGAGATAACTGTGGAGTGAACTGTGATGCTGCCTGTACACAGTGTGAACGTTTTGGTGTTGACTGCGTGGGTCCATGTCAGAATCCTCGGTTTCACGGTCCCATGTGTAGGACGAAATGTCCTTCCATATGTACAGATGGGTGTGACAAAGAAACAGGGGAGTGTGACAGATGTGACTCTGATCACATAGGAAGGTACTGTATAGATTATATGTATCTTTTACTCATTTAAATTATACTTCTTTTGAATAGCATTGACGAACATATTAAACAGTTGATCAAGGGCGCAGCATTCATTCTACAAGGGATCATATATAAAATAAATTTATAAAGAATACGCCACCTAAGGCGACTTTTAACTTATAAACGTGTACATCTATAGATCGTCTATAAATTTAATGAATGTGTTTTATTCATCTGTCAGTAGTGAAGAGATGTGTCTCAGATGCGGGCCTCAGTTCCTCTACTGTGACGGACACTGCTTCCACTGTATAGGCGACAACTGTCACAACACACCTGTGGGACACGTAAGTAGTTTATTTTATTATATATATAACGGTAAAATGTATTACTAGATCATTCAGACTGTAAAGTATAGTAATATGTATTGAACACATCACCAGCTTTATGATTATCATATGCTTATCATAATTATTTGAACATTCCATTTATAGTCACAGCTGATCCAATTTCAGATCAGCTGGTTATAAAACAAGGAAACAATAACCGACTTGGTTTCATATTTCCAATTTTGCGTTGTGAACGTATGAAATGCATCTGCCTCTCCCTTTGACTCAAGATTGATTGATTGATTGTGGTTTAACGCCGCACTCAGCAATATTCCAGCTATATGGCGGCGGTCTGTAAATAATCGAGTCTGGACCAGAGAATCCAGTGATCAACATCATGAACATCGATGTACGCAATTAGGATACGAAGACACGTGTTAACCAAGTCAGTGAGCCTAACCATCCGATCCCGTTAGTCGCCTCTTACAACAAGCATGGGTAACTGAAGGCCAATCTAACCCGAATCTTCACGGGTTCTTTAACTAAAAAAGAGCTACCCTAACATTTACTTTTTATACAAGATTTACCATTACTCTTATATAAACTAACATATTTGTCCATCATGTGTTTTGATCTTTATCCAGGATACACATACCACACGCTACAGGTTATTGCAGGAATTCTGGGCGTGGTTGTACTTATTGGATCAACATGTGTTGTGGTCAATCTTGCAAGACGAAAGGCCCAATGCCGAAAAAGGTAACGATTTATGTCAAATAGAGACGGTTAAAACATTTATTTCAAATATTTTACCTATGTATATATTATCAATCTATATTCATACCAACGTCTAATGATAATTGACAATTACGTAAAATAGAAGATCTAAAGACGGATAATGCCTATTGTTATATCACGATTCTAAGTGTACAAGTGTGTGTATTTTACAGAAAGACCACCAAATCCACAGTGAACGAGAGGAATGGTACCAACCGCGATGGCCGTGATTATTGGGCACAGAACTACTGGGAAATACACGATAAAGACACAGATATCAATTCGTATGTAAGCATTTTGTCTCTCAATGGACACACAGTGACCAATGTTAATGAAAATGACGTCATAAGGAAGGAAATGTCCACTGCTCAACAACCTCCTCCCTCTGTCCCACTGGTCATGCAGTCTGAAACAAGATCCAACTGGGTAAAGGAAACTCGTGACTCCTGTTTCAAGCATGGTGGACTGGACATGAATCCAAAGGCGAACCTGACAGAAGACGATGAACCTGACAATGCATCTGATGGTAGAGAAGTTCACCATCCTTTTTTGTGGAAGTCTTCCTCACTTTCGGACTTGTTTGAATCAAGGAAGAAACTGGTCCATGATAGGTGTAATATCAGTCTTAGCTGCTTATCCACTAACACACAACGATTGGTCAGGAAGACCAATTCAATCGTATCAATAGAGCGAAACTGCGACTTGTCACAAGTGTATGTGCGATATCTCACACCCGGAAAAGTTGCCATTCAGTCTGACAACATGACTAAGTAATGATATATAAAGCTTGGTGATTATGTTATTGAATAAACAATGATTTAACAACTAAAGTCCAAAGAAAATTGTATCCATGTTTTGTAATTCTGGTGGTTCATCCTGGTTACAAACAAAGTAGAGATATATTTCAACTGTTTCTAGCTAAATATTCTAATATATTGTACAGATGATATATTTTATAGAAAAGCTGTTTCGTTATTTTCTTCCGCCTTGTAAATAAGATGAGAAACAAACCTCTCCCTGTGTCGTTGTTTTCTAATATGAAGTATCACTTAATGCAAGCCACTGTATATATACACAACTAAACATATGTTGTTATCATGCATATATTATCTATGTCTCTGAATAAATGTTGGACTTCTGTCACTGAAACACTTTTGTTATGAACATACATAGCCTGAGTGTCACTAGCGTCCTAGAGCGTAAGGTGTCATAAGCGCATATAAGTAAATTCCCGACAGTACAGAAATTGAATGTTCAGGCGTAACTTTCGTTATTGTGAGTGAGTGAGTGAGTGGGTGAGCATGGTTTTACGCCGATGTTAGCAATAGCCCAGCAATATCACTGCGCGGAACACCAGAAATGGGCTTCACACATTGTACCCATGTTGGGAATCGATACCGGGTCTTCAGCATGACGAGCGAACGCTTAAACCACTAGACTACCTCACCGCCCCTATTGTGGGTAGTTTGTATAACGGTTAATAGTAATTCATGTCTACAATATATATATACACACGCGAACGCATGCACGCACACACACACACATATACATGCATGCATAAGTATGAACGTCTAATGTAAAATTGTTTACTTGTTGTTTGCGAACTACAAGAACATTGCGCATGTTGATTATAATTTATTTTGCGGCACTCCATGCCAATCGGTATGGGTTGTTTTGAGTCTACGTTTATATTCACTGAGAACATTACCTAACTATACAAGCTAACTGACTTATTGCCAAATGCATGAATACTATCATAGGTATTTCTTTTAGGATTTTCTCGTGGACACACAACAGGCACAAGAACCTGAAACCTAACCCACAGCTTCTTTGATAAATGTCACTTATACACATACACATTTATTATATAAAGAGTTGCTTTGTAAACAGTTTCGTGAGGTCAGGGTCACTTATATATTTCCTAGTAATCATATTTACTTTATGTTTTGAGCTGAGGAAATTATTGCAGTGAAACCCTGTCCAGGAACTGTGTTCGAATTATCAACATTGTCTGCTTTGATATCTAATTTGATCAACAGAATCGATCCCTGATGCTGAATAGCAAATTATAGACGCTCTTACCACAGTGTCGTTTAACACATGTTATATCTGGGATTACACTTTCTAAGTAAAGTACAGATTCTAGTACATTAACCTTCATCCTCAGAGTCAGGCGCCTAGTCGTAGGACAACTGATAATCTAGACCATGGAATGTGTGTACTCCTGTGAAAGTTGTAAGTTATCGGTTTACTCCCATAAGAACTACATCCCATTTGAGCTACATCCCGAATTAACTACAGGGATTAATTAGGGATTAATCATCTGAGTAGTGGCACCCCCATGACATGTAATGAGCACAGCCCATCAGCTCTCCCAGAAGAACTACATGCTTAAAATCCTATTGACCAGTAATTATGTTGTTATTATGTTGTAATTATGTATCACGGCCCAACGTGTCGTTTGTTATCAAATGTATCAAAATTATCATCAAAAGTTTAAACCTCACATGGGTGAGAATAGTTGTCATCAAATCATTTAGTTCTCGGTGCAAACAATAATAAATGTGCAGCGAAACACCTTCAGACATTTTTTGAACATTTATCATGACTATAAGGAAATGTTTATCATGACCTTGTCACGTGACGTGTCCTCTACCATACATACTTACACAGTTCCAACACACACGAACTTGTCATTTGAATTTAAATAAGCACAGTGTGATTTCGTATAGGTGTTACTTATGTGAACTCTTCTGTTTGTATGGTTCGTAATTAAAGGAATTCTAAGATCAGCTGTGATGGCAATTTATTAATGTATCTTGTTTAAGCAAAACAAAGTTGTGCCAAGAAGCTATATGCCACGGTTGATGTTAGTGTTAATGTAAGACAATGGCAGATCACTTCCATTAATTTAATGATACGATTCGTTTGGTTAATGTTATTCTGCAAAACTGCAAACCCAAGATTACAACGTATGATGTTCTTCCGTAAACCCACATAAACTATGTCATATGCTGTGTCAAGGACAGTGGAGTCACACGTTCATTTGTGCAGAAACAATCCTTAACAAGATTGCTTGTGTCCTCAAAGGTAGGTGAGTGTTTCACCCTTTCAATAAATGTTGTCACAGTACCCTAGGCCGATGTATGTGTCAGTAAGTAAGTGGATGAAAACGTTATGGAGAAAATGGACTTCACGTTGAACTCATGTATGACATCCAACTCTCGTCTTCGTGTCGTGCCAGAGCTTCTGCCACTGGGTTCTCCATGTGTGAGGAATAGAGTTGAATGGTAAACATATGTGCCACGGTGACGCATATATGATGAAGTTGCCTCAGTTTCATCATTTTTCATATTACATTAACATTACCATCTCCGTTTACTATTCGTCCAACTCAAATGAAGTATAGATGGTAAATAGCTTTTTAGCATAAGGGTTTATTCTCATGACGTAACTCAATGTTTGGATGTCAGTAATATTAATTCATATGTACCTTGTCAATAATTTCACTGCCAGTATCTAAACGGTAAATATGTTACAAATATGATATCACCCTTTCGTTATGTTATTCATATGGGACCGGAACTACCTGATGATGTTGTAAATTGCCAAATTAGTAATCACCCACAGACCATGTAAGTTGGCAGTTGACAATACTGTGACTTCCTATTTTCAATATAGACTATGGACTATGGAATCTATTATATAGTGATGCGTATGCTATTCGGTACTCGATGAATACAGAATAAAAACACAAACCCACACATACGGACAATGAAACACAATAACAAATTCACCTCAATTCAAGACATGCATCTCTAATTTAAGAATAATTACTGGAAGAAAGACAGTGTAAGTTGAGCCTGTGGGGAGCTGGTGTTGAGACGGTTGGTTCATACACTTTGACCTTTCAGTTTCTGTCCAACGTGGAGCCTGGTGAACCTGATGGGCGGTGAGCTTACTGGAGGTCAGTCGTTATATATATCGTAAAGTTTAGAGTAAAACTATTGATTCAGTTTGAAAAAAACAGAAGCATTTTCCTGAGAGTATCCACTGAATTGGACATATTTCCACTCCATGCAAATCTCATAAAATTAACAGTAATGCCGACCAAAAGATTTGCCACAGGCAAGAGGGATTGAGAAAACGAAGAAATATTGCGAAACTTGAAGTTTTACATGTACAGAGAATATATATGTTTATAAATTGTGGTTATTTATTATGTACATTGACTTATTGACCATGCAATCCTGAAACCCTGCATGTGACGTTTAATACTTTCACGTGTACAAAGGGACATTACTCCATGATGTGTTTTATCCGGAGAATCACTAACCCGGATGTCTGCACGGCGACAATTTTGTCCTCATTAAATGGGTTCAACTGTATCAGTACTTTCGTAACCACTTGTTACGAGAGTTATCAGCAATGTATAAACCTACAGTGAATGTACAAGACTCTCACAGGATATTATTTGAGTTAGTTTATACATATATCCGGTCCTCCTGTGTTTCAGCGCAGTGCAGCCAGAGACATGAGGGTTCGGCGCGTTCCAGTATTCCCCTTTGAACAATCCCGTCACGGGATTTCGATTTTGGTGACGTTCGGCTTGTTTATTCTTTTGAAAACAGGTTTGTGACTGATTTTCGCATTGTTAAAGGGTAAACCTTGCACAGTCTTTGTTGCATTTTGTTGCGTATGTTCTTACTGGTAGGTGAGAGTGAGTGAGCTAAGGAGCGGGCTTTGATCCTTTATTAATATTATCAAACAACATCAAATGTGAACAGTTAACTACATATACCTCTGAGGTTGGTTGTAAAATACTTCAGCATTTAAAGATTCCAAACTGACCATCTCAAGTCTAAAATATTTAAACAATCACATATATCAATATGCGGTTGGGAGATATTTAACATCAAGATAAAGACCCTCTTGCAGTAACCTGTATCCCTTTGGCAAATCTTTGGATCCGTTTCCATCCAGTATGATGCCCGGCATCTAGTTCTAATGGCTGTAGATAATTACTGGATTGTGTGGTCCAGACTCGAGTATTTACAGACCACTGCCATGTAGCTGGGATATTGCTGATTGTGGTGGTACACAAACAATCAAACAAACAAACAAACGAGCCTTGAAAGAAATGTTTCAATACTTTTAGTCTCCGAAATGTGTCTTTTCTTTAAGGTGGCGTGTATCTGATATACAAACTTAAGAACGAATATTATAAATATAAACAGCTACACCTGTATTGCATTCTTGATTTTCCTGTATTATTCTTGAATGCAGCTACTTCTTCAAGGGATGCCTGCACCATCTGCGACGGAAACAACTCCACCTGCGTTGACGGTGCGTGTCTACCCGCTGCCTCAACCTGACGTCATCTGGAGAGTGTCTGCAGTGTCGAGATTCCAGGTTTTATGGCGAACAGTGTGAAAACAGGTGTCCAGATACATGTAAAAACTCTCGTTGTCGGGTGAATAACTCTCGCGTTGCGTGTACAGAGGGTTGTGTGGCTGGCAAGAAGGGAGATAACTGTGTAATAGCCTGCCCATCAGGTTGTACAGAGTGTGAACGTTACGGTGATGGTTGTGTAGGACCGTGTTCCAATCCCCACTACTATGGACTCAACTGTCGGAAGTCATGTCCCTCCAACTGTAGAGAGGGATGTGATAAGGAAACTGGGGAGTGTGACAGTTGCGAGGAAGGACACAGGGGAAAGTACTGTAAGGAACACTGCCCCATCAGCTGTGTGGGTGGATGTGAGAAAGACACCGGGTATTGCTACAGCTGTGAGCGAGGTAAAAGAGGGACGTTCTGCAATGCCACATGCCAGTCCGGACTATGTACATCAGGTAAATAAGATGGCAAACTAAACTAACGCTCAAAAGAAACGATAACAAGTCGAAATCACTGATATTACAAGACGACAAACCACCATTGTGAGAAAGGAAAGTGAATTTTAATAACAGGTGTCTGGGCATCAGTGATTTCGACAGTTTATTTGTAATTTTCAGGATCAGATACAACAAAACCGTTTCGCTTCCGGTCACATTTATGCAATCTTTGAAATTACTCTGCCGTTGATTGTAGTATATGTTTACTCCTCGAATTATTATGATCTTCCAATTTCAAATTAACGTTATTAATTAGTCACTGAATGAACCAATTTGTGAAATGATATAATAGTATTCTTATTTATTTCAAATCGTATATTGCATTAAACTGTCGTCATACATAAAGTGTTCGTGGAGTAAATATTGTTTCTATCGTATATTATTACATATAATTGATTTTAAATGGTTTCTAAGCAGTATGAATTGGAACCCGGCAGAATATTATGGTAATTGTGACCAGTAGCCTTCCAGCCTCACAAACAACCATGTAAATGGAGTGCACACTGATCCATAGACCTTCATTATTACACTGTGCTCTGTCCCCAGGGGGATGTGTTGAAGACATGGAGGAGTGCAGCAGATGCCGGTCAGGTGTGAGGGGCAAGTACTGCAATGCCCTCTGTCCCCCTACATGTACCCACTGTGAACGTTACGGAGTTGCATGTATAGGCCAGTGTTCAGACTCCCAGTACTATGGCCTCTCCTGCCAGTTTCCATGCCCAGACTACTGCACTGGAGGCTGTGACAGCCGCACAGGGAAGTGTGTCAACTGTATAGCAGGTTACAGGGGAGACTACTGCAATGGAACCTGTCCATCAAACTGTTCACTGTGTCAGCGTTATGGTGATGTGTGTATCGGACCTTGTCCACACGATGACCATTATGGAGAGGACTGTTCAGCACCATGCCCTGTAGGATGTGATGGATGCAACAAAGAAACGGGGATTTGTCTCAACTGTGCGTCTCACTACAAGAGAACCTACTGCCACGAACTCTGCACAAAGTGCACTGGTACAGACTGCCACACCACGCCATGTATGGACAAAAACACAGGTAAGTATGGCAGCTCAGATGCTAGGTATGTCGTTTTGCAGTTTTATACCGCTGTCGTCTTTAACTGTTTATTCTTACTATTATTATTTGTTATCAAAATGAATACCATTCGTGTCTGCTTGAAAATGCCAAACTGTCAAAAACCGTTGCGTCAAAGTTAAAGGGACCTAGGTGAATACTTCGAGTTATCCGACATTCGACACACCCGGAAATGGTGATTAAGGAAGAAATAGACCAAGCTTTTAGATCGACACACCAAAGCTCGATATAACGATGAATGGCCGTAGTATATGATTGTACCGTCTAAGAAGACTGACTCAGTTTGGTATTACGCCGCTTTTAGCAATATTCCAGCAATATCACGGCGGGGGACACCAGAAATGGGCTTCACACATTGTACCCATGTGGGGATTCGAACCCGGGTCTTCGGCGTGACGAGCCAACGCTTTAACCACTAGACTACCCCACCGCCCCTCCGTCTAAGAAGAATTAATTCCATAATGTAATGAGATAGGAGATTACAGGTGTATTTGTTTCCCCAGATTAATGAACTAGCCACCTCGTGAAGTGCACATTCACATTCTGTATTTTCCAGAAGATGCTCATCTCACACTCAAGATTATATGTGGTCTGCTGGCTGCCATGGCGCTAATGTGTGGAGCATTTGCAGGGATAAGGCACATGAAACTAAATCGAGAAAGGTAAATCTCGAATTATTTAATCCATCTGCCAGTATTACTAGCAATATGAAATATTGATCTTTTGATGCGTATTACGTTTTTTGTGGATGGGAATTAAGGTCTCACATCATGGTCAGAATGATAAAGTATCGATAACGACATATGTAGTAAATAATTTTCGGTGACGTCTTTGGTTTTAATTTGCATTAGCAGTGTTTTATTTATTGTTGGCCTGAAAGATATACAGTGAACTACCGAATAGTCTTATAACGAGCTTGCTGCCAACTTGTTGTACATTTTAGTCGAGCTGCGTATGACCGTAGTTTTCTGTACTGATAAAACAACGGCATTGTGTTGCAGAGCGATCTTCTCATCATCTCTGCGCTATGAGAATCAGCGACACAGTTCCAATGGGACAAGACAGAGCGACGGTGACTACTGGACCAAGAAGTACTGGGAAATATATGACAATGACTTGGATTCCGATCAGTCTGTAAAACGGCCTACCGTAAAACACCCGTACGAAACACCGCAAGACGTAGCCAGCCGACGCCCAACCCAGCACAACAATGGGGGTTCTCCCAACCTCCGCCATCAAGACGTACGTTCTGATTGTGTGTATGAAGGTTACGAACGTGTGATGGGTAAACCAGAAGAGGCAACTGGTGGTGTGGACTATCCAGTAATACACGAAGATAACGCGTTGATTCCACGGTCATCTGCCTCTGGGAAAGGTTCTCTGACGAGTTCTGACATTTCCGATGACTTCTTACCATCAGACATGCAATTGATCCAAAAGACTGATTCGATAATATTCATTGAACAAAACTGTGACTTAGCTAGTGTGAATGTCAGTTATCTTTCTCCTGACAAAACTGATACAGAAAGTGGATGTTAGTATATGCTACAATACTAATGCAATGGGCATGCTCTCCCAACACCAATACTGTCTCAACAGTGTGTTTTGTTTGTGTTACATACTTTTGTAATTGTAGCCAGGCTATTGTACATTAACTATAAATTTCAATATCGTTACAGCTATTTACACCCTTTCACATCATCATCAATTTAACGGTTTGTTTTCATTGCATGTTCCAGAAGTCTTCCTGTAATGGACGCTAATGTTTATGTATCTATTTTATGTTTAAGGACTCTGGTGTGTTGTTAGATATCTATTACACGTCCATTGTTAATACATTGGGGAAGTTGCCTTCAAAAACAATACTGAAACTACCAGGCTTTTGTTGAGAATCCTATGTCGCATGTAACTAGTGTTCTATAAAGTAACGCGGAGGATGATATGTAAATAAAATGATCACAGCTTCAGTTGTCGTTTCCGTGTAGTTTTACTCACACAGGTTGTCAAGGACATTGCAGACACCTTGTGTAAATAATGGAGCATGTTTTGCAAACATGGGGTTATAATTATCTCAGACGATACACCCCTCACATTTGTACATGTGTACGTACCGAAAGAAACGAAGGTGCGACGATTTTTGTGGCGCTTCGGTGCGGTGGGGTTGAAGTACATAGTCTTAAGATTCAGTTGGAATCATACAACGGTGATGAGGTGAAGCGCGTGACGTCGTGTGTGTAGCGACGAGCGTGCACACGTGTAAGTGTCTGTCTCCTTGTATTAGTCTCCAATAATACCGGTTTCATGTTGCTTACATACACACTATATAACACATGTAGCATGCCGCAGTTGCACACGACCATCTCACTCCAATGTTGTACACTGTAGGGATAGTTCCTTGTTTTATCCCTTTTATGCCGAGCGTCAGGCAGTCTGACACTAAATGCCTTCGTTTCACATCGTTTATTTTGTTATTTCTGTAAACACAAGTAACACAAAACAGACTAGAGATAGATGTCATCAGTATATTCCACTTATTAACTAATATGATATGTTACAGATGAACTAATTATTAGTCTGAAGGTTACATATTCCAGGTCACAGACTCACGATTGTTGCCCACAACATCGACCTTTGAATTGTCTCAGAATTATTTTTTAATTCAGCTGACCATGAAAGAAAGATGGAGTCAAATTGGAAAGTCAGTAACGTGTATGACCACCGTTGGCAGCAACACAAGCTGTGCAACGTCTCCTCATTAAACTGATAAGTCTCTGAAAAGTGTTTTGAGGCAATGCATTCCACTCTTGGTGCAAGGCATTCTCAAGTTCCCCAAGGTTGTTGATCTGTGGGCGACGTGAGAGGCGTTGGCCGATGTAATCCCACACGTGTTCAATGGGAGACAAATCCGGTGACAATGCAGGTCATGGAAGTAGAGGAATGTTGTTGTTTGCCAGAAACTGTGTTGCAACACGTGCAGTGTGCGCTCGAGCATTGTCCTGCTGGAATGTGTGCCGATCTTGATGTTGGTTAAAGAAGGGAACGACGTTGTTCTGAAGAATGGTGTCACGGTAGTAAAGGGCATTCACTCTGCCACGACAAACTACCAGAGCGGTTTTGTGATGATAACTGACCCAACAAACCCCACACACACACACACACACCATAATGCTGTCTCCACCCCACCGATCTGTTTGCACAACACAGTCCTGATGGTAACGTTCTACCCGTCGACGCCATACCCGTAGATGCCCGTCAGCTTTTCGCAAGTGAAAACGTGACTCGTCGGAGAACACAACAGCATGCCAACGTCGTAACAACCACAAACGATGCTGTTCAGCTCATCGTTGGCGTTCACCGCGATGTCTATCAGTCAGGATGGGTCCAACAAAAGGGCGTCGACACCGTAATCCTGCCGCACGGTGGAAGCACTGATCAAACCACGTCGGCCTTGGACAGCGTTTGCGGTTCTGGCAGCCGGCAACTAGTCTGTCTCACAGTCCCTGAACCACATTATTTTCCCCACTGCCAAGCCCTCTCTGCAGTGCTAAAGCCCTAAATAAAGCAAGTCTAGATTTCCTCAGGCTCTGGTCTCCCTGGGGCTCCTTTTCAATTTACATGGGCTTGTTTGTTACTATCAAAATTATATATATTCAGAGACTAAGCATTAGTTTTGCCGGCAACGTACGATCCCGAATATGGCGCCGAACAATGTCTCGATCTTGGCGAGTGGTGGTGACCCGTGCCTGGCCAGGACGTTGGCGGTCCCTGGTGGTTCCTGTTTGTTGGTACCAGTTGGCAAGTCTTATGATGGTGGAATGATGGCAACCAAATCGTCTGGCAATGATCCTGCTTGATCATTGCTTGATCTGCTTGATCAGGGCCAACCTGCAACATGCCCAACGCCCGTTCTCGTTCCTCTGGTGACAATCTTGGCATTGCAAAATAAACTTTACTTGCGGAGGTACAACTAAAATGAGAACGTTTTTGCCGACGGTCATTTATACCCCTAATCAGCATGTTTTACGCATGCAATTTGTGCTTTTCATGTGTGTTGTGCATTAATTTTGTTGTTGTCATGTGATGTTTTCTATGATGTGTTCGGGCAATCCGTTCTTTACTGTACAGCATTATTTATTGTCTTTTATGTTATTAACAACATTTCCAACGTTCATTTTCACTCTCAAAACAATCCTATTACCATATTTCAAAATTTACAGGTGGTGCGTTTTCAATGATATTCAGTATATAATGAGAAATATATTAAAAACCGTGTAGATAAGATCAACTACCCATAAAAGATGGATGATAATACAGTATAACACAAAATGTCGTTGATGTAGATCACCAACATATACTAAAACCGCTATTGTTAATTTATGGCTCTGGGCCATATTGGTATATAAAGATCTAGGAAGGCATGTAAGATCGTGACAGTAAAAGTTTGTTTAAGGTAGAATTTACGTCTGGTATCTTCAAAAAAAGTTATTATGTCCTTTGTGCAAAACAATTATTCCTAATCCAAAAAGTGAAATGATTTTCTGTAAAATGATTTTCATTGGACCACATGTCCGTTGGTATGTTCGTGTGCGTCATGAGTATGAATCGAGATGAGGGGCGTGGTGGGGGTGACATTGATTACGGCCCCTATTAACGTACTCAGCACGAAAAGGGAAGTAGCTGTTTAACCAATCTTCTAATGTACTGCTTTATACCAACCAATAATGTTTACTGTTATCTGTCAAGTAGTGTGTGTAAACAACACTATGTGCAGTCCACCAAGAGACAGTCATTCTGAACTGGTTATCTCCCTTACACCACAGTTATGGAAATGATTCGATGTATAACAGTTACTCCTCCAATACTGTTTGCATGTAAATTCTCTTTGCTGTCGGAGGTCCGGCAAGAGACAGGCATTCTGAACTGGTTATCTCCCTTGCACCACAGTTATGGAAATGATTCGATGTATAACAGTTACTCCTCCAATACTGTTTGCATGTAAATTCTCTTTGCTGTCGGAGGTCCGACAAGAGACAGGCATTCTGAACTGGTTATCTCCCTTGCACCACAGTCATTGAAATGATACGATGTATAACAGTTACTTCTGCAATACTGTTTGCATGTAAACTTTGCTGTTGGAGGTTCGGCAAGAGACAGTTATACTGAAATGGTTATCTCCCTTCTGCCACAGTCATTGAAATGACACAATGTGTACAATACCGTACAAAATGAAACAAATACTTTATTTTGAGAAATTTGTTAATTGAAATAAGGAACAGAAACAAATGTTCATTCAATTCATACATACTGCGCCTTCTTATGTTGACATCCTGCACATGACATTTTTGACGTAAATAAGACTCTCCGTGATTTATCAGGATTAAACTGAAACACATAAACAATGTTACAAACAGTATCTTTTACTGAACTATTGAATAATGCAAAACAAATAACTACATGATTTTAGTTGCTAATGTGTTATAAATTAAAAACTGCTGGGATAAAAGTGCTGTTTGAGATAAGCGTGTTTGAGACAGCGGAAATGAGACGTGTTGTCATGCAAGCCCCGTCAATGTGAGGTTTCACTTCCGGAGGTCAGTGAGTAACGGTTATGTCACGTGACACACTCTGTGGACGTTCTGAAAACACATAGCCCTATCAACGTTTAGTCATGTTTAATTATTTCAAGGGTTGACTTTGAGTTTCCGTTGTGAAAGGTGGCGAACGAGGAAGATTTTCAGTGATTTGACCTGCAGTTTAAGTTGGGTTTAAATGCTTACAAAAAACACACGTTACAATAAGCTAATGCGTTTATGGACAAAGAAGTCGCCATGTAGTATAGTTTCATGATTTTAGCAGAGATTTCTCATTGATACATATACTTATGACGGGTGCCACCGGTGGGGCAGTATAAGCTCACCTGTTCTCGAACACCTATATTTTATATTGATTCATAAGCACATGCTCTGACGTCGTATCACATGGCGACAATCACTGGATTATCTGGTCCAGAGTCGATTTGTTTAGGAACAACGTCGTACAGCTGTAATACTGCTGAAACAGATGATCATGGTACAATCACAATTGTACATTCGACTCTGCTTTTAGTAGAGGTTTCTTATGGGTGTGGAAAGTCCTGAATCTCTTTGCCTGTTTTGAATTATCATGTATATTATATGTATTATTCTCTTCAAAATGTTTGGAAATGGCAATTATGTAATACAGCGCCAATGGTTTGTAAACACTGCATCTGTGCTACTGAAGTGATGCATCGTGTGAGTAAGGTTTAACACATTAAGTTTAACACTGCTTAGGTATGCAGAGAATCTCACCATCGTGGCCACTGATCTCAAATACATAGACATGAGTAGATAAAGCCCTGAACTCATAGGTTCCTTTATTGGACATAAAAATACACACGGTGGGAATCTATTTCACCTCCAGAACAATTCTGCCCACCTTGTCAGGTTGTACAAACAATTGAGCGTATATGAACAGATGACCAGTTTCATTAGCAGAGAAACCAGTGATGTAATTTGATTCTGACGTCATGGTAACCTTTGACATCACAATGGCGTAGAAAACCTTGTGATACAGTTATATTGTAGCTATATCTCATAGGAGATGTTGCACATACTCCCCAAGCGATATCTCAAATGGCAGCCAGTTTGGGATTAAACATCACATTGTGTTAGCTTAGTGTTGGGAAAAGGGCGGATAAAGTGTTCGCTCATCACGCCAAAGGCCCGGGTTCTATTCCCCACATGGGTGCAATGTGAGAAGCCAACTTCTGGTGTCCCCTGCGTGATATTGCTGGTATATTGCTAAAAGCTGGGTAAACCCTAACTTACTAGTGTTGGTGAATGACTCAGATGTTAGACCACTTATATGTGTAACACTTCGATGCCATCCCTGGACTATTGTATTGTGATGACAAGCCAAGGGTCATAATTAAGTTACTGGATTCGAACCAACAATTGCAGGATCCTGGACGACCTTAGATACCAATGCATATCTAGTGACTTCCGGCGACGTCGAAGACTGGTCGCCCCCTGCCTCCTGTTTTGTTTAAACAATGCGGTTCTGACCGTGACCGTGGGGTGATATGGTGGCAGCTCCGGATGTGGCCTGTGTGACTGCAGATGAAGGTGTATGGTAGGTCGTTCATTTACGTATATCACCATACCCAAATAGCTGATATTTTGTCGCATAACTTATTCTGAAAACTGCCTGTTACTCACATGGTTATGGTATACAGATGACATAATGTGTACTTTATATAAATATTTTCTGAAACATAATCAATTAAATCAACCCTTATCAGGCATGCATTCTTTTTGAAGGACTTTTGCTGACATCTATATCTAATTAACAAACACGGCACACTTCTTGAAGGAAATCGACACCATTTGTGAAAATAACATTTTGTGTAGATTTAATTTCCTTGTATCTGTGTTTTGTTTTTTCTAGTGAAATAAGAAACCCGGAGACAATGAGAACACGCTGTTACGATTGAATACCTAAAGGTAAAGCTGGGTGCATGTTATCTCCTCCTGAACGATGCGAGTAAAGTGGAGCTGTAAGATGACCTATATCGGTTTTCTCATGCAACTTCCAGAAAAAGATATTTTGTTTATTACAGACATGACAAACCGAAAGGGTCTGACCCGTGGCATCGCTAAACGTTACGTCAATGTACGCAGCATGCTACAAACGGTATTGGTCTTCATTGTTGCTACGCATCAAGGTATGTAAAGTCACCTAGCCCTTACAAACGGTGTATAAAGTCAAAACTATGACAGTAATAACATGGGGGTCCCGATCAGTGTTAATTAGAAGCTGAAGTTTGACGTCCTTCAGTCACGCATCTGTAGTTCGGTTTGCAAGATACAGATCATCGTTAGGTTGAAATCCGGATTCGAACCAGTAACAAATATGCAAATAAATTATTGACTAATTTAACACCTCGGCAATAGGGGAGTTCATTTTACCAGTTTTCATCCAGGCCACTTACGTTTCCATCCTTAGTTTACTGTATGACCTGTTTCATAAGTCACTGTTGCTATTTGCATTATGGAGAAATTGTTTTACCTATCATGACCGATTTACAGGAGAAACCATAAGACTATCCTATTAGATTTGCACAGTCGTCATTTTCTTTGGCTTTCCGGTTTTTGCGATATTACACAGTTATATTTTCTGTTTGATTTCGTCATGCTATTGTTTGTTCAGGTACACCATATCCGTTCGGGACGTCTTGCTCTGACTGTGGCGGCAACAACGTGAGTTGTGTTAAGGGCTTGTGTCTACCTCGATGTGTTTCGGTGACGTCATCAGGTGAGTGTGACCAGTGTCAGGACTCCAGGTTCTATGGAACACAGTGCCAGAACGACTGTCCAGACACCTGTCTCAACTCTCGCTGTCAGGTTACCAACACCCGTGTCGTGTGTAAAGATGGCTGTGTAGCAGGCAAGAAGGGAGATAATTGTGGAGTGGATTGTCCAATAGGCTGCCTGAACTGTTTCCGTTACAATGGTACCTGTTTTGGTCAATGCAAATACAACTTTTATGGAAAGAACTGTCACAAATGTCCAGCAAACTGCATTAATGGCTGTGATAGACAGTCGGGCACGTGTAACGGTTGTCGGACTGGTTGGAGGGGCGACTACTGTGGTGTAAAATGTCCGCTGTGTGTGAATTGTGCCAATACAGAGGGATGTAAACAGCTCTGCTCTGACGGAATCTATTATGGTGTAAACTGTCAACATGGATGCCCGCTCCACTGTGACAGCTGCAGTACACCAACACAACCGTGTAAGGTGTGCCAGGCATGCAAGGATGTACTTACCCCATCAACAGGTGTCTATTATAAAAATATTGTTCCAGTTATAATTGGATAAGGATCCTGCTAGTTGTCTCAGTTGCTAATGTAGTACAATCAATCTGGAAAGTAAAGAAGAATAAAGACACTGTAGTTTATGTAACTTCTTGACTTCAGAGAGACTTCAGTGAGTGAGTGAGTGAGTTTTGTTTTACGCCGCTTTAAGCAATATTCCAGCAATATCACGGTGGGGGGACACCAGAAATGGGCTTCATACAGTGTACCCGTGTGAAGCAGAGAGACTTCAGAGAGACAGTATAATGGGAACGGATGGCCCAATCGTCTAATCATATAAAGCGCCGCAATTCGCTGGGGAGAGTTGCGCCCATTGGGTAATCCAGAAACCTATGATCCCGGGTTCAAGTCCCAATGCGTCCAGATTATGTTTCTCAATGTGTTAGCGCCATGCTCAAGCTCGTTGGTTTTAAGTGGCTGTCTAAAACATGGTTTTCCTCGCAGTTAACCCTCATATGACTCGAATTATTATCTTGTTTAAGGGCTCCATACTCACACAACCACTCACTATACAGAAGTATTAATATGGAATTCAAATATGTCCTTGATTGTTTTCTTTCAGGTTCAACCTCCATTCCGAATGTGCAAAAAGAATCAAATGAGACCCTAAAGCTTGTGTGTGCTGTCTTTGGAACACTTCTGTTCGGAACATTTGCATTAATATTGTACAATCGATGTTCAAAGCTTATCAGACTCAATCAAAGGTACAGTTGGCAGTAATTAGAAACATGATAATAAAAATAATTAATAATGAAAAAGATTTAATCTTCATTTCCTGTTTAAGTGCTGGACTTGCTTTTTCAGGCCTATATGGAACTGGAGACGACTTTTTGAGAGAAGATCTGCAAGAGGACGTGATGTAGATGGTGGCGGATACAGCGGGTCTACTGTGTACAACAAGTACTGGGAGATCCAGGATGAAGACATAGACTCAGCTACAGAGGCAAGGACATCTGCCATGGACGAAACCGGCGCCTTAGAAGATAACCGGGGAAGAATCTTACAACAGGCTCCGAACAATGACGTGATGGCAAGAAGTACGTACGAGAAGCACAGGAAAACTACCGAAGATAAAACTGGACACTGCAAGATCTTGTTGAGGCCGGTTGGGAGTACTCCCTGTAGTGCACGGCGAGCAGCTTCTTGTGACCTTGGGAAGCCAAACAAACCAGACGAAACAACTGTTCAAAGGTCGCATTCGGACAGTGAATCTGAGTTTCTTTTTGCAAAATACAGAAACACAGAAAATGAGTCAAGTTTAGATTCAGTAACTTTATTTGGACAAACGTGTGATGTGACGAATGTCCATGTGAAGTATATCACAGCAGCAGTTGTAGAAACATCCCGAGATTCTCCAGTTTAATCAGTCATCGCGGAAGAAACGTCTATTGTATTCTGCCTATCGATCTGTAGCCACGTCTTAAAAATAAAACTTCCAAGTAAGCAAGTATGTCTGCATAATGTTTTTTTGATAAGGAAAAATATCTTTTTAAATAGATATATAATGGACTTTGTACACTTGCCATCCGGTATCTCGATATGTTGAAGTGAAAGAGTCCATGTGGAAAGTTCGAGTAATGGCTGATAGGTAACGTATGTGTAACGTCTGTGGTACAATGGATTAACTTAACAAACATTTAAATGTGATTATTTAGTTCGAACGACAACCGGACTGTAAAGGGTGGTGACTGTTATTTGTTTCCAGGATAGTGTTATTACTATTTCTTGGAACTTCATCGAAACTGGTCCCGAAAAAAATAGATTCAATCACCTTTATGTGGTGAATACTATTAACTTCAAGGCTTATTAGGGACGGTGGGGTGGCCTAGTGGTTAAAGCGTCCGCTCGTCACGCTGAAGACCCGGGATCGATTCCCCACATGGGTACAATGTGTGAAGCCCATTTCTGGTGTCCCCCGTCATGATGCAGCTGAAATATTGCTAAAAGCGGCGTAAAACCATTATTCACTCATATTGCTAAAAGCGGCGTAAAACCATTATTCACTCACTCACTCACTCACTCACTGAAGGCTTATTAAGCGTGGCGTTTTGACATCAGGGTTCAATCTCAAAGCCTATGAAATTAAAGTTGGATGTAATTCATTTTAAACCCGACATCTTGGTCGGAAGCTGTATTCAATGTACATATAATTCAGAGCAACAATATCGTTGAATGTGTCATGGAAACCTTACACATTGGACATCACTGCATTGTGACCCAGGGCCTTTTGTCGCAATTATAAGTACAAAATACATTTCAAACAATACCACCGCGGTTAGTTTAGAAATGTACAGATGTACACATGAAATACATTTTGCGATTTCGACACTGTTTTCATCACATTCTATGTTATAATAAGTAAAAACAAAATTCATGGAACAAAGTGAAAAGTGTTGCTTTAACATCGAAACATTTTGAATGCCGGAATCAGTATTGTGGTTTCAAATAACTTGAGGTCCAGATCATGCAATGCATCAATAAATCACAATCCACTGAGCAAACGCATTTTCAAAGGCAATTTGTACCATATTACTCAAGCACATATTAAGTCCTGTTGTATGTAAATACAGTTAGGACGTTAGGCCCCTTTACTAATTTCGTGTTTCCATTCAGTGGGGCAGATGGTTACTTTTGACTGCGAGTTTCATCTATTCACTACTTTTATCATTATTTATGACCATATATGGCCATGTTATATTCAGTGTATTCTAGAACACGTGACGAGTGTCCTGCTTGCTCTCTCTGTGAAACCGGCATTTTTTACATTCCCAAGAAACATCACGAAGGCGAAACTGAAATCTATTACAGGGACGTTTACAATAATTGTATGTTTTTATATGTAAGGAAATAGAAATTACAAACACCATTTGGAGTTTATTTTAATATGTTTTAACAGTTTGATATGGTGAAATATGTTTCTGAAATCATGTGTTAGTTTGCTGTTTACCCACCACACTCAGAAAACATTCTATCTGTAAACTCTCGAATCTGGGTCAGAAAATCCAATGATTGATATCACCAGCATAGATCAATTTAGTTCAACAAATTTAGCGAGCCTGACCATGCAATCCTATTGGTTGACTTTAACCACAAGCGTAGATATCTCTCACAATTATGTATTGTGTATCCATCACCGATTTCCACGTGGCCAATCATCTAGGCAGGTAAATACTCGATGTAGCCCGAACCGAACATCCAGGATTATATTAATTCAAATCTTCACCTTACAAGTTGATGTTTACATGTTATCTTCCTGTGTACGTTTACATCAGACAGACAGACAGACTGACAGACAGACAGACGAACAAATGAACAGGTAATCGGTAAACAATAGAATATAACAAGTGTCAAGTTTATACATTGGCTGATGTATAATGCGTTCATGTAGTTTTGGGGTGGTTAAAATCTCATCTTTGGTTCATTTACTACCGATCAATCATCGAAAATAATTGGTTAGCCTCATTTATGAAATTTGTTAGACATTAAAATAAGGGGAAAAATGTAGTTCTTCTGGGTTTTGGCAAAATTTCACATCTTTAAAAGGATGACTAGTATGTTAGGAACATACATTTCTTGGAATCTTTAAGATAGATAGAACAGGTAATCGGTGTAGAAACAATAGAATTTAACAAGTGTCGAATCTTTTTGTGTTCGTTTATATATTGGCTGAGTATATAAATGTGTTCATATACACTGAAATATTGCATAGGTTTAATGCTACTAGGCGCACCTTTTTAATGAATATTCCGAATAATATGTAGTGTAGGAGGCTAACGTCAGGTCAGGATCGTTGAGGCAAGGAGGAAACTGAAACTGTCATGCTGACTGCGAGCTGCCTATGGTCTGGGTTGAGAAAAAAGAATCAGTAGAAATGATAAGGCATTATATACTTGTAAACATATCAATCCACTTTTAATGTAAGTTTATTTAGCATGAAGGCGTAAACCGCATCAACAGTTTGGCAGTAACAATACCTAATGTTAAGCATTGTTTATCAAATACTTTCTTCTTTTCTTAAGCATGATAAAGAAACAGCATGGTGGTTATTTGTTTTAGAATCATTGTTTGTTTCAATCATCTTCCCCATGTGTTCATATTTACAATACACTGTTGTGGGTAATATCAAATTCCAACAGTACGAAATGAAGCAGATTTAAGTGAAAACGATGTGATTCATCCTCATACTGGTATATGTATATCTAACATAATACCAGGCTGTCTGCCTCTCTTGCTCATGTGATGGACTGACCGTGGAAGTATCTAGGTTTCTGTAATTCGGCTCTGAATAAATACTAGACTAACGCTTATTCTCTGAGTATATATAAGTTTGATTGTAACAAATAAACCCATTTAAATTGAAAAGGAGCCCCAGGGAGATCCTGAACCTGGAGAAATCTAGACTTGCTTCATTTAGGGCTTAAGCATTGCAGGGAAGGCTAGGCTGTTGGAAAAATGATATGGTTCAGGGACTGTGAGACAGACAAATAAATATCAGTCAGGGTTGGCTCAATATGTCACTGTAACCTATGTTTAACATAGGAGTTGACTCATCGTTCAGTATTGGTTTCCGGGTGTATTGGTTTTGGAATAACTGGGTTTCTGCGTATTTTATATGAGGACAGCAATGGGAAATATTGCTATACAGACAGAAGACTCTGAATAAACCTTGAATATCACACTGACTTACATACACCCAATCAATTTATGTTTAGCTGGAGAGGAAGAATTGGAAAACAATCGGTTTTAGGGTATGAAAGTTAACTGTTCTCAAATATTTTCACTAGTTTTACCATACCATAGTATGAAACCAACAATGCTAGAAACATGACACCCTCAAACTTGATAATAATTTGTGTGTGTGTGTGTATATATATATATATATATATATAGTGTGTGTGTGTGTGTGTGTGTGTGTAAGAGAGAGAGAGGAGAGAGAGAGAGAGAGAGAGAGAGAGAGAGAGAGAGAGAGAGAAAGAGAGAGAGAGAGAGTGTGTGTAAACAGTGTAGTCGTCAAACAATACACAGAGGACCCAGATCGCTCAAGGCCTGAGGCTGTGCGTGCGACGTCACATATTGATGACGTACAAATCAGGACACGTCATCTCTGCAACAGATTTGTCACTGCAACTTTCATCAGAGACCATCAGGAACCGTTTACGATGGGCCCACAGACATGCCAGATTCGACTGAAAACAGGTGTGGCAGAGCAGAGCAGGTGTGGCAGAGCAGAGCAGAGCAGAGCGTTGTTTGGGGTGGGGGTCAAAGAACGTCAATATGTTCCAAATCAAACTTTGCCGCAATCAATTTTTCATCGTCTGTATTGTAACCTAGTTGGTAGCAGTATGGTACACAGCTATTTTCATAACAATGCACACACGACTACCATTGTGGGATTCAGTTAAAGTGCCAAGTTTAGATAGGCTGTGCATCCATGTACATGGTGTTCATATATATTAAAATAATATATAGGTAATTTATATGAATTATAAAAATAACTTAAATACTTCTAGGCGCACCTTTGTTAACCAAACCTTTAGTAAATGAATATTCGAATAATATGTAGGAGGCTAAAGTCAGGATAGTTGAGTCAAGGAGGAAGCTGAAACTACCCTGGCGAGCCGCGTCTGTATTCACGTCAGTATTTAGGACAGGACTGCTATACAGCATATACACTGGGGAGAGCTAAAAGTAAGTTTACTTTGGTTCCAATATTGTAGCAAATATAATAGGTTACGTTATAAGAGCTTAGCCATACCCAGGAATAGATGTTGTTAAATTGTATGTCAAGAGTATGGTTCGTATTGCTACGTGACACATCTAGTGTACCGGGTGAAAATACGCCTTGTGATTTGTCAGTTAAAGATATGACATTAAATGATGTATTCTGTATGGCATGTATCATATCATGAACACAACATTTTCTGATGATCACCCAGGTTGATGTAAGACAACGTTTTTTCCTCTATAAATTTCATGTCCCTTGGAGTTTGTTTTAACTATGTGTTTCTATATACGACATATCACCAAATTCTAAAAATGTAATTCATCAAATTTGTTTGTATATTTCATTCAAAAATTGGGAAAGGGCTAGTGTTAAGGAACAATGATCCTACCTCGTTAGGATGAGAACGCCACAATAACTCAGTGCGCCTAGTGGCTGCAAGAGCTGTATACTCCCCTGGGAGTTGAGATTGATAATACGATCTGCCGTTGAGATTGACATCCAGTGATCGAGGGAAAAAATACCAGCGCCTTGATCATGCACTAGTTGCCTGGATAGGTGCACTATATAAATGTCCTATAATAAATAGCAATAAAATAAATAAACTCGATAACTCAATTATTCAATTTTGTCTTACTTCATAAACCGGATGTTTTGTGTACAGGGTTCGAACTCCTTCTTAAGCATTATACATTACACATCGGTCCTTAAGCTATAAGCAACATATATAGCTTTACGCTGAAATACCGTATTGTGAACTATAATTATGCTATAGATGTTTTAAGTATTTACTTTGCAGTTGTTCAAACTGCATATCACAGTTTAACTTACACAAATGTGACATTCCGAAAAATATGCATGTCACACACACACACACACACACACACACACACACACACACACACACACACACACACACACACACACACACACACACACACACACACACACACACACACACACACACACACACACACACGTTGGTATGACTTTATGTTATAAGTAAACTTCAAATCCTTGCGATACATAGTAAATGTTAATGATATCCTGTTTCTTTGGGCAACACACATTCAAAACATTTGGAATAACAAATGATATATAAAAGCAAGATTCTATGTTGATATATCACCCAATGTCACTAATCTCGTCGCTATCCTTGTTTTGCAGAACAACTTCACAATGGACGCACGTAATCCACGATGCCATTACTGGACAACCCATCGTCTTTCTACCTCTGTTTTTCCTGAACGGTAAGAGGTTTTCGTTATTTATAAACTTGTTATTTATGAATACACAATGCCATTTAGACAGTGGTCAAATGTAACATATGGTATATCAGGGATTACACTTTCTTAGTAAATTTACAGATTATAGTACATTTTTGAGTTGCATCCCATCCAAAATTATAACCCATGCTCTAACATATGTAAGTTTTATTCATGGTGTGTGATATGATACGTTTCCCCGTTCGATACAGAATATCATGCAGATACTCTTTTATCTACATCTATAAGGTTGGAAAATATATTTGAGACTGGAGTCATCACCAACGTCTGTCAAATATTGCCATTCAGGATGAACGATTGTCTTCCACCGACCTTAATGCTGCTCAGCACGATACTTATCCATACAAACAGGATAATTTTGTCTACTAATTAATTTAGTGAATCTCACAAAAACTAAACAAACATTGTCCTGGGCGAAAGAAATATGCTAGTCTGTGGAGCACTTCCATTCCTCTCTGAATGTTTCATGTTCAGAAATCGTGAACACTATGGCAATATTACAGATGTTTAATTTGTACATTGAACAGATGGCATACAATATTATATTTTCCATTCAACAGTTTCTTCTACAAGCACACCTTGTAACAACTGTGAAGGTAACAACGTGACCTGTGTTGACGGTGTGTGTCTACCTCGCTGTGTCAATGTGACGTCATCTGGAGAGTGTCTCCAGTGTCTGGACTCCAGGTTCTATGGTAAACAGTGTCAACATGACTGTCCAGACACCTGTCTCAACTCTCGCTGTCAGATGAACAACACCCGTGTTGTGTGTACAGAGGGATGTGTGGCCGGCAAGAAGGGAGATAACTGTGGAGTGAACTGTCCTACAGCCTGTACACAGTGTGAACGTTATGGTGATGGTTGTACAGGACCGTGTCAGAATCCCCAGTATTACGGTCAGAACTGTACAACACCTTGTCCCTCCATCTGTACAGGTGGATGTAATAGGATCACAGGGGAGTGTGGCAGCTGTGAGCCGGGGTACAGAGGGGACAAGTGTGATGTTACCTGTCCCCCCAACTGTACAGGTGGATGTGATAAAGACACAGGGGAGTGTGGCAGCTGTGAGCCGGGGTACAGAGGGGAATACTGCGACATATGTGAAGAAAACAAAGGCTTGTGTATTTTTTAGTAGTTTTCAGATTCATCCGTGTACAGTATATTATATGTTCACAATGCTTTGAAATGCATCTATTTTTGCAAGACATTAATTTAGTAGCGTCAATTGAAAAATACCCGAGACAAATGGGGATACATTTCTACCCATACAGGTGCAAACCCACGTCTTTGTTTGATTTATGTGCCATCTTTAATGATTATTTTCCTTATATGCTTAAAGAGTCATGCCATGCAATAAACTGCACCAACTGTGGCGGTAAACAACGTGACCTGTGTTGACGGTGTGTGTCTACCTCGTTGTGTCAATGTGACGTCATCTGGAGAGTGTCTCCAGTGTCTGGACTCCAGGTTCTATGGTATACAGTGTCAACATGACTGTCCAGACACCTGTCTCAACTCTCGCTGTCAGATGGACAACACCCGTGTTGTGTGTACAGAGGGATGTGTGGCCGGCAAGAAGGGAGATAACTGTGGCGTGAACTGTCCTACAGCCTGTACACAGTGTGAACGTTATGGTGATGGTTGTACAGGATCGTGTCAGAATCCCCAGTATTACGGTCCACACTGTAGAACACCTTGTCCCTCACACTGTACAGGTGGATGTGAATAGAGACACAGGGGAGTGTGGCAGCTGTGAGCCGGGGTACACAGGGGACAAGTGTGATGTACATTCAGGTGTGAGCTTCTGTCTCTATGGAAATTGAAATGTGGTGGTTCAATATCATTTACGGAGTGAGTGAGGGTTGTCAGGTTAAGGGGGGCGTTATATTACACAAAGTCGAAATACCATTTCACACGATCAATAAGATTTAACGATACTGTCATGATGTATTGAAAAATGAGAACCCCTGTTACCTACCCCCCTTTATCTAACATCACTGCAGTATGTAGAACCAGCAGTCAGCAGCATATATATGTGTACTTGTTCTCTACTTACAAATGTTATTTGCCCTATAGAGTATAAATAAATAATCTAACCACATATGCCCCTCGTCAATAAATATCGCACCACCCACATTTTTTCTCTAAGTAAAACTGGATCTACAACCTTATAAAAATGGTGCTTAGAAAAGCACATTAAACTGTTTAGATGGCCTCATGTGAGCGTTCAGTCAGAAAATTGACAACACAAGACCGAAGTTGAACAATTATTGAAGGTTTCGTTGTAGCAAACTGAAGTTCACTCAAATCGCCGTAAAATAAGGTGAAATAAGTATGGCTGCCGGTGTCGTTACAACAGACACACATCACAGTTCACAATTTAATAATGTCGAACACACTAGTAAGGTCCACAATGACTGGCTAACTCAGTATCTGGTGTAACCGCCTCGCACTTGGATAACATTTTCTACACGCCGTCTCATGCTGGCCACCAGACGTCTGATTCTCAGTTGGGGGATCTGCTGCCACTCATCATGCAATGCATGGGGCAATTACTGAAGGTTCTGAACTGGAGGATCCCTTGCTCTCACTCTACGTCCCAAAATGTCCCACAAATACTCAATAGGATTCATGTCTCGACTTCTGGCTGGCCATGGTGTCTCAATGGTGGTGTGTTCGAGATGCTCAACAACAGCTCGAGCACGATGTGGTCTGGCATTATCGACCATGAAGTGGCGAGGGCATGGTTATTGAAGTGAGGCACTACAGCACCGTCCAGTTTCAAGTTCTGGTACCTCTCTCCATTCAATGCCTCGGGAACTGCGATGAGGTCAAGTTTACAGTGATAGGAACAATACCACCACACCATGGCGGATCCACCCCAAATTGGAACTTCAGCTGATCATATGCTGTGCCTCGCTGCCTCCAAACTCGTGCCCTCCCGTCTGTATGTTGCAGCAAAAATCGGCTTTCTTCGGACCAGTGGATCCTTCTCCATGTCCTCAGGTTCCAGCTAACACGTGCTTGGCACCAGGCTAAACGGGCATTGCGGTGCCGATTTGTGAAGGGTGGACGTCGTTGGGCATTTCACTGGTTGGTCCAAATCAAGCTTTTTTAATCAAAATTTATGCCTACAATCAAATTTTAGCTGCGTCTGCCAACATAACATACGCCAAAAGGAGGCTATGTGTGTACTGCATTTATAGCAAACTGACCCCCGGAACATGCATGCTTAAGGCAAGCATGCACGTGCAGCTCGGAACAGGATGTGTTTGTGATATTATGATGACGGATGGTGTCGAATATTACATATGTACGTGGAGTATAACAAAAACCCGAACATTATATTTCTACTTTGACTTTCAAATGGGTGGTGCGATACTTTTGACGAGGTGTATATTTATGAATACCTTGACAATTTTGTCATTTGCATGTATTTGTTTGTGTTCCAAGAAATGTCTTTTAGGTCGTCTGTTTATTGCGTAGTCCTGTGACAAACAAGATTGAATTATTTTGAAGGTCATACTTCGTTACTGATATGGATCGGAAGTGTGATGCTTGCGGTGGTTGTAGCTGCATCGTTTCTCTCTCTGATGGCGTTTTTGTGGAAGAAGTAAGTGTTGTATTACACATGTACTAATATGAAATATGTTGATTTCTTAACAATGGATGGAAACATAATGTGTCACGCGTTAAAGTATTAGAATATAACATTGAGTACAATAATTGCAGTTCAGCAACTGAATATGGTATTTCTGAGGAAACTGTTTACCATTTGAGAGACCTTTTAAACGATATGTTATTGTAAAGCTTTTAAGTAATATGTGACTGTATTTTACATTTTAGGAGAAAAAAGAGAAGACTGAATAAGTCCCAAGACAAAGAGATGACATGCGAAATGAATTCACTAAATAACAATGATCTGAAGCCTTATGATTTCCAACAGAACCCTTCATCATCACAAGAAATGTTCACAGCTTCATGTCAAGGTATGTATTTAAATGTGTGGCGTATGTATTTAACAGACTGTATTAGAGCATTTTTATATCTTTATTTCAATTATCACATATTCCCTTCAAACATATACATTCTTTCTATGCCCTTTTGAAGATGTATTCTTAAAGATACTCACAATGCATAAATAAAAAAAAAAAAAAAAAATAGAATAAAATAAAATTGTAAAATGTATACAATACAATTTATGAGGTGATCAATTGATTGAGTATTATGAGTTGTCAATGCTTCACAGATGATGACCTGCAACGGGTGATCCTATGTGAGGATCTGATAGGTGAGGGGTCATCCGTGCAGATAATAGACGAGTTCCAGGTGAGATAGTAACAATGTTTAAAAACATAATTGACAATATGTTCTCATGTTCATGCATGTGTTCATTTCGCCTTCTGTTATCAGATCATATATTTTCTAAACTGTTTTTTCCAGAGGCTGTCTTGTCCTGACATCGAAAATGCAAAATATGGCTCTCTGGATGACAACGTCACGAAGAATAGATACAGAGATGTATTGCCATGTACGTTAACATACGGTCACTACCCTAAATTTGTGGCTATGCTGTGGATTAGTATCACTTAGTTTAGTGTATTAGGTCTATCATTATTGTTTTGCATTTTCATATCCTTGTATTTACTTTATTTCTGAAAGTAATAACAACCTTAATTACGTATTTAAAAAGAAATATATGCTCTGACCTGTGGTAGTCGTTTGTACACTTATTACATCCAAGCAGTTAAAGGCCAAGCTCATATTTTTAAATTAGTGAATTTTTGGATCGCCCTGTTTTAATATATTTGCAGATGACGCAACGCGAGTGTCCCTCGAGATTGACGACAAGAGTGAAAGTGATTACATCAATGCCTCATTCATCGATGTAAGTATACGCACCACTTAATCCTTTGAATAAACATGAAATGCGTTTTCGTTTGGCATTTAATAATCATATACTTTTGGTCATATTGATGTTACATGATATATAAAATTGACTTTAGTATTTTTGTACCTGCTTGAGAGATACGTTTCCATAAATATGTACGAACGCACTGGTTTTGAAATTTCATGATTTCCCCTAGCTACGTATCACACCATTGAAAACACTGGAAATTGCATTACTAAATTACTTTCAATGATGATTATTTCCGTGTGCATAGAATGTTATTGCTATATTCCAGGGGTACAAAGAGCACATCCAGTACGTGGCAGCCCAAGGTAAGTTCAAAGGGTCATAAACCAACTGAATTATCTCCCACTACTCCTTGATATACTGAATAACATTGATAGATACTGTAAAAATACAATTACGTAGATGCAAGACAGTCTCTATACATGCAAATAGGTTGCCATATTTAGTGCAACCATAACGATGCATTCATTACCTCAAACGCCGTTTAATAAGCACTGCGTTTCAAGTTTCAGCATTGGAGTTCTTTGAAATAAAATACATACTTGTAAGGTAAAAGGAAACACAAAATTAAATTACAAATTGAATCATCCATTACCAAAACAAAAGCGAAGCCAATTTAATTTGCCTGCTGTATATGCTTCTATTTCTGTGTTACAGGACCCTCAGTAGAAGTCGTAGCGGACTTCTGGAGGATGATATGGCAGCTGAACACCACCAAGATTGTCATGCTAACTAACCTTGTTGAAGCAAGGAAGGTAACACATTCATGTAGAGCAATAAACATTTAACAGTATGCCAAAAATATCTACTAAATACCGGTGCTGAACTGACACTCTATAAAGATATTCATACAAACGTAATATGTCAGGTGGGGAATGAATACTACACAACATATATTTGAGCTAATATGTGTTGAACTATGTTACACTTAGGTGAAGTGTGAGATGTACTGGCCTTTCTGCAGCTCCGATTTCTCAACCTATGGCAAGGTGTACGTTCAGTGTGTTGAGGAAAAGGTGTATAAAAATTATACTCTCCGGAAACTAGCGGTTTGGAAGGTATGAGTACATTTCTGTCGTCAGATTACATTCGCTGGCAATTGTATTCTCACATACATATTCTCGCTCGCGAACCAATTGCAATAATTGTTTTACGACAACTAGTCAAACAATCGAAATTTATTGGCGTATGATATTCAGTGTATAAGTATGCTTCTATTTATGTAACCTGCTTGGTGTTTTTAGAAGGGCAACTTGTGCTAAATTTAAATAAATTTATAAACGAACATAAGGTACCATGTGTTTTGATCTGCAGTTTTTTGTGCGTGTTTTTTTCAGGAACACTCTGACCACAGATTAATCCGCCAGTTTCATTTTACCTCCTGGCCTGACCACGGTGTTCCAGGGGAGACAACTGCAATTCTAGATTTCCACAGGGTTGTCAAGGACACAAAAACAGATTCATCTGGACCTTTGTTAATACACTGCAGGTACTGTGTGCATACACTTCATAAGGAAGAATTTCTCACGGCAATTTTTTGTTTCAGTTTCAGAATCATGGCATTTCAGTCTCCGTGTGCGAAAATACAGTGACAGTAAATGCATTCAAAAATACAAAAACGATGCCAGGGTCAAAATCGTCGAAAATTTCCATTACGCAGACTGAATATTTGATTTAAAAGCATGAGATGTCAAACATATTCACTCAGTATACGTTTTCAACGTAGATAATTTCGCCGGTAAAATGAACAGAACGAACACAGTGAGGAATGTATAATGTTAACGCAAGCAATGAATGTAATGAAAATGTAATGTAATAATTTAGTGAAATTGAAATACCATATAATTAATAAACAGTTAACGAAGAATACGTTATACATGTCCATCATATTATTTATAAAGCTTTAATTCTATGTGGTTACTGAAATGCACATACTACTATCCTGCTAGCACATTTCATGACGCTGGTACAAAGTTTACCTCGTTAATCGGGACAATACCTTTCTCAGTGGATTGTCCAGGTTGGTAAGACTATAGAATACCGGATACATTCCGTCATCTTTGAAAGCACACGAGTTTACTTAGGGTTAGGGTAAGGTTTAGGGTTAGGGTTAGGGTTAGGGTTAGGATTAGGGTTAGGGTGACGTGACACTAAACAATATGGCTGGTAGGTATCCGGTATTCTGTAGGAGTACCGTCCACGTTAGCCAGGTTTGCATCAGTGGTCCGGAAGACGCATCATGTATACATTTACATGTGTTCGCCATGAAACTGCATTTTCCCTTTTAAAGAATAATCGTAAGTTTCACTGCATCACATTTCTCAGCGCTGGCATTGGACGCACGGGAACCTTCATTGCCTTGGATTATCTACTTGACCAGGCCAGGGAAGAGGGCCGAGTATGTATTTACACCTGTGTACAGAACCTCCGCCAACAGAGGATGAAAATGGTTCAGACACAAGTGAGTTCAATTTCAGTTCAGTTTATCAGAGCTTCATGTGCCATCATGCATATTATATCCTTCTATTTTTGTCAGCGATATCTTTCTGACAAGACCTTTTGTTTACAAATCGAAGTGTTCTTTTGGCCATCGAACCCAGATAAGCCAGACACGTTTATTTGACCCTGGGGTCAGTGAAAGTGAAAGTGAGTGACATTTAAAGGACATGCATGTTTCCGTTGTTACAGCTAGTAGGTCACCAGTTTATAAATATGAATGCAAAGTAAATATGAATCTGTTATACATAAATACAATAGCAAATGTCCACCCATGTGGAGGGGGATTTGAAACAAGCATATGACATCTATCAACATTCGACTATTATTGTAAATGTAGAACAAAACAAACTGAATACACCAGTTTAATACAAGATGTAATATATATTTGCATGGAACACATTCGTTTATCATGGAATTTACATTATACCGATATTATGACAACCAAATATCAAGAAAATATATTTTGCCTGAAACAATAAATCGCTAATGACAACATTACACGAATAAAATCCATGTTTGATATCTTCAGGAGCAGTATGCGTTCATATACAAGGCACTAATGAGTGCCCTGGAAATAGCAGGGAGTTCACAACGCTACCAAGAACCAATAGCAGTCCTATGTGGGGACTGTTGGCGACAGAGAAAAGGCAATAGCAGGTATATATACTTGAAGTTGAATACATAGTTGCAAATTACACCCGACGATGCTGAAAATGATGTTTTGGGGAGGTAGGGAGTCATCAAAAACATGTACTGAGGGGGATAAGGTGGGGGTGGGCGAGGTATGTGTGTGTGTGTGTGTGTGTGTGTGTGTGTGTGTGTGTGTCTATCAGCAATTTCGTACATGTGAATATTTAAGATTTTCGCTTAAAACTTATGGGGCATAGATTTAGCACATGACATGACAACAGTTGTGTGTGTGTATGTGTGTGTGTGTGTCACTTTGTACATGATTTTTAGGGTGGTCATTCGCATTGTACACACTTATCCATAACAATCATCATCACCACCCACTCACCGCTAGCCATACATCATGATCGGTCCCTAATGTCACATTAAGCATACATGTGTTTTGTATTGAATTAGTGCTTGTTAATTATACGAATGTCCCACATACAATCATCAGTACCTCTATTTTTTACTTCAGGTCTAACGCTAGTCTGGTGAAGAATGACCCCGTGTACCAGAACCTGTGGAACTCGCAGTTACACCGCAGGACCAGCTATCTGCCAGTAAGCCCGTCACCTCCTCTTGAAGAGTATGCGATCATCAGTGAAACCACCCCGCCCCGCCTTCACAGATCGCTGAAGTCCTGTTCTATAGATGTAGATATGGACACATGGATGGATACGTCGGTTTAACACTCCATTCAACTCGATAGAGAGTGTACATCTGGGTAGAACATCTTGTCGATGGTGCAGTGGTATGGGGCCGTTTTCACACATTTCTGACAGTTTGGATTGGCAACTGAACTGAGGACGATTCCCATATAACACTTTCAAAATAGGGTAGCATATGACTTAATTAGGTTCCATTTGACAGAAGGTCGTTCATATTATGACAATGTGTATATAGTAATTCATTTGTTATACTTTATTATTTATCTGTTTATGTATGAAAGGAAATGGACACAGAAATGTTTATTGGCAAAGCATTTGCGTGTTACATGTACTGAATGTATAAAGATACATGGATATTGATCTCTGGCCATATGTGCTTTCCCTGTTTTGTACAGTGATGTTTAATAATTTCTGATGTGTTACATACTGTTGCCACTTGGAAAAACGACACGAAGATGCAGAAGAAAACAACAAGTTTGTAGTTTAGTGTTAGTAATCGGCGATATGTAAGAAATTGAGTCTGGATCAGACAATCCAGTGATCAACAGCATGAGCACCAGTCTACGCAAATGGGACAAGAAGACATGTGTTTACCATATCAGTGAGCCTGACCACCCGATTCCGTTAGTCGCCTCTTACAACAAGCATGGGTTACTGAAGACCAATTCTATCCTGGATCTTCACGAGTTTAGTTATCTGTTGTTCAGTGGTGACAATGTAATTCATGTATTTTTGTAACTATAAATCATGAATTTATGTTGAATATATAAATACCTTCCAATACAATTTGTATAATGGCCTCTAACAGTAATAAACATGTTTTTAAAAAAGAAACTGTTTGTCTTTTAAAAGTGCCAAAGAAACTTTTCATGCACTTGCATGTATGTGCAAATTGGCCTTACAATCTCTCCGATTTTAGAGGTTAACTCCCTTCCATGATTCTAAATCAGGCTCTGCAGAGTCAGGCGCCGAATCGACGGCATACAAAGTCAGCGATCTGACTCACTCTTGCCTGTGTGTCGTATGTCTGTTTGTCTATCTGTATGTGTGTGTATGTACTAGTATGTATGTGTGTCGTCTGTTTGTCTGGGTGTCGTCTGTATGGTTGTCTGTGTGTCGTATGTCTGTCTGTCTATCTCGTCTGTTTGTCTGTCTGGGTGTCGTCTGTATGGTTGTCTGTCGTGTGTGTCTATCTGTGTCTGTGTGTGTGTGTGTGTGTCGTCTATTTGTCTGGTCTGTATGTATGTGTGTCTGTCGTCTATGTCTGGGTCAGTTGTCTGTCTATCTGTGTGTGTGTGTGTATGTATGTGTGTCGTCTATTTGTCTGTCTGATGTCTGTATGGTGTGTCTGTCTGTCTGGTGTCTAGTCTGTGTGTCGTATGTATGTGTGTGTGTGTGTGTGTGTGTATGTATGTGTGTCGTCTATTTGTCTGTCTGGGTGTCGTCTGTATGTCTCCGTGTGTGTGTATGTGTATGGTCTGGACTGTCACCTAGAAGTGTGTGTAATAACACGTCATGGTCTGGGTGTAATGTCTGTCTGTCTCTCCGTGTGCGTGTGTGTATGTATGTATGTGTGTCCTTCGTATGTCTGTCTAGGGTGTCAACACATCTGTTTGATGTATGTGTGTCGTCTATTTGTCTGTCTGGGTAACTGTGAAGTCGTCTGTAAGCTGACCTAGGTGCCAACAACAACACAGTTTGACATCCCTGACGGGCCAACAAGACGGTTCCCTCGCCGCCCTGTATACAAGGAAGTAACGACTGAGAGTAATCAGAGTTCACTGTGTTATCTCCCACTTCCGCATATCCGTCGTTTAGTGCACGTGACGCAAACCTTCAGCACCAACACATTGAGGCCTGGGACACATTGACCCTATCGTATCAAATACAATATTATGTCCAAAGAATCGGTTGTCCACGGAAATATATCAGAGCTGAATTTCCTGGAGCCAGAAATAATGAGAGTGAGTCGGTCACAAACTGGTTTATGTTGTGTATCAATACGTATATTTGTGTTACACGTGTATCTGGTACAACAAAAAACCTTTGTCAGTCTGTTAAATCACTCGTCGACTTCATTACTACCCGTCTACATGCACACGTGTTACGACCCGGCTGACTGGTGACAAGCAAAACAACTATCTAGTACAACTTCTGTGATATAGTGTGAAAAGGCACGTCTTGAACGGGGAGTAGTACACGAATTTATAGAGATAAATGCACTTTACAAAACAGCAAGTCTATTTCACTGTATAATTTCGCGTGTTGTTTTCAATGATTTATTTCTTGAAATGCAAATGAAAGACGAAGTTTCCTCAACGAAAGTCCAAACAAACATCCGTCATGTGTTTGCATAACACCATCCCCTAGTTTAACATGGTGAATTTGCAACAGGATCTAAAACGAAACATTTCCCGTTCATTGTATCTCGAGACAGGCTCTTGACATGCATTCTAATTTCCGTATCGAAACCTAAAGGGTTAATTCATCAGAGAAAATATATCAATACAGTTTATTCAAAATGCACTCTTGCGTTCCATCAGCACAATGATATACTTGTCTCCCGTCATACAAGTATAGGAATCACTCACTCATGTGTGAGTGAGTGAATATAGTTTTACGCCGCTTTTAGCAATATTCCAGCAATATCACGGTGGGGAACACCTAAAATGGGCTTCACACACTGTATCCATGTGGGGAATCGAACCCGACGAACGCTTTAACCACGAGGCCCCGAACCACGTGTGACAATATGTATTGATCAAATATTATGTTCTGAGGGTAATGTGGCACTACATGCTCAGTCATCTGAGACGCCTTAACTTGCTGTGCGGAGTTCCATCTTTGGCGTGATACTTCAAGCTGACACGCCAAGAGGTATCTGCAGTACTACTCAAACCGACCCTTAACCCAACCCATTCACTCAACCTCCACAGTTAACCGTCTTTCTGCTACAGAGGCAACGAAAGGCGTATAAATAAATTCCCACACTCAGTATGTCTTTCTCCCTCTAAACATACCCATACACCTTCTCACACCCACACACACCTTCACAAACACACACACACACACACACACACACACACACACAAAACACACACACCCCCACAAACACACAAACACTGATAGAAAGACACTCAATCACGCACATTCTCAGTCACTCACTCACTCACTCAAGCACGCACGCACGTACGCACGCTCTCACTCACTCACTCAAACCATCTCTCACAAAAACACAGCACACGGAATTGCGGAAATAAATATTTCCTCGTGTGAGTAATTTTATATTTGACCCAGGATCCCCGAGGAAGGACATGTTTCTGTTGAAGGATATTTGACTTAAACATGGACAAAAACAAGCTGTATTAAAGGTGAGCATGTGTGCTATAACTAATTGTGATGTCGACATGTTGTAGTAGACTCTGTTCAGACGGTGTCGAACGACAATCTCTGCTCACAGACAAATACCAGAACCTTCTGGTTACGTGTAACAGTGTCAATAGCTAATGACCTGTATTTACAACATCTGTGAAATGTATCATCACTTTATAGCTGTAATATATTTATAGTTTAAGTCGATGTACATCACTTTCATACAGTGCAAATGGTAGTTGGTTTGATCTGTTTCAGTTTCTGTCATATTTGAGTTGGATGGACAGTAAGCTATCAGCAGCAAGCGTTAACATGCTTCTAGTTGTTGTCGTAACTTGACAATATGTGTAACTGTATGAGTGACACACAGCGTCCACGCTGCTTCTTCGTGAATTAAGTGAGTTGCCATGCCTTTCTGATACACAGGGTCGGCAATGTAAATACATTGTATAAAGTGTATATTTTAGTTGAAACTGCCATTACACGTTAATCATAGGTACGTTACGCTTAAAAGAAGTCAATTATGGAAGCGTATTTATAAATTTATAAATAGTAATATATACGCAGATGGTACTTTCACAATGTATATGCAGTGAAAATTACGCACACAGACAGTGTATACACACACACACACATACACACACACACAGACACCATTGTCAAATATGAAAACATACAGTCATGTCACGGTTGATAAGGTAACTAGATCAGTCATTATGAATTAGGCCATACGTTACAAAGAGTGATCAATTGTCGATTACCGAAGGTTTATATTTTTTCTACTTCCACCAAGGGTGGTACATGAGTGAAGTGGAAAAACGTTATATACACATATAATGACTGACTGAGTTTGGTTTTACGCCGCTTTTAGCAATATTCCAGCAACATCACGGCGGGGGACACCAGAAATGGGCTTCACATATATACACATATACAAAATTGTCACCAAGAGTAGCTATTTCTATAGTAGATTATGTTATTATAAACAATAGTTGAGAATATGTTCTACCAAGATGTGACTATAATCTACGTTTATATGAGCACCCTTTACGTTGACGTTAATATGTTTTCATAGTTATAAATATCATTATAATTTGAATCTTTCTTGCCTTTTCCTCGTGAATACACATAGAGCGAATTTGAGCAACATAGAAATGCCAACTTACCTAGGATCTATTTCTAACAAAACATAAAAAAGCCAAACAATTACACTGCCTGATAAAATCCCTGATATTACCCGTTCCACAACGCTAAACTAGATGTGTGCGACATTATAAGTAACATATGGCATCAATGTATTTACAGAACCATGAATACAAACTGCACATGTAACGAATGTGAAGGGTTAACTTCCAGAGAATGCCAGAATCTTTGTGAATGTGAGTACATTTGTTTCAGGTCCAAGCATGTTACCAATTGCCATTTAATTAGGGAATTTTGCTTTCTATATACACAAGTAGGTTACATCACTGAACATCACAGCAATATTGTCATGTAAATCTGTTGCCATGTATACACATCATGTTACAATGCATGTATAGTGGATTGGTACCTAATCAAACATATGTGAAAGAGTTGTTGCTCTATATAAAGGGCTTTAAACGTATTTGAATGTTTTGTATTGTTCGCTTTGCCTGATGATATTGATAAGATGACTGTTAATGGCGATAATGAAATAACTTTGATTTACAGGCGAAGGAATTTCAACATCGCAAACAGCAGGCATTGTGTTGCTGGCCTTGTTTGCCATTGGATGCCTTTTATTACTCGGAGTCTTTTTGTGGAGAAGGTAGGCCAGACAACTCTTTTTATCAATAGTGAGCGAATTCTATGTTTGCTTGTTATTGTTGAACACCAGATTCAGCAATTTTCCAACTGTCTTAATTGAGTCTCGATTAGACAGTCCAGTGATTGACTTCATGATATGGTGAAATGCATCAACCGATTCTGAACAGCTGATCCCATTAGTACAAACATGGATTACTGAAGACTAACCCCGATCTCCACTGGTAGAATTATGTTTTAACGCCTCCATATACAGTACCTATATTTATATGTGGGTGAAATCACCACACTATTAATCTGCAAGCATGGGTATGGTACAGTCAAAGGATATGCATAAAGAACATAGCCTGGGTGAACCTGGGTATGTCAGTCACAACAAGGATATTTGGGCTTGGAATAGGGACACAACTCTGCACAAGGTTCTTAAGGAAGTGCTTCAGAGAACATCTAATCCCAGGGACCAAACCATCATAATACTGTGCGATCCGTGCTCATTAAACACCTTCGAGATTGCTTTCCCTGATTAACAATTATATGTGTACCAAATATGGTGCTGTGATTCCATGCTTGATGGTCATAAAAGTAACATGTTTATATTCTTGCACTATTTTTCAGGAAAAGAAAGCGTGCAGAAACACAAAATAAGGTTGTAGAGTGCGAGATGAGTCCTTTGAACAACAACACACAGAAGTCATCTAGTCGAGGCCGGGATAGTTCTGGAAAAGACTTTTCAACGGCAAACCCTATATATGTACCCTCGTGGCAAGGTGATAATGACTGTGATACAGAACATTACACACCAAGACATGTCATTTATATAAATATCTCTAAACTGTTGTATATGTGTGTCAATTTTATTTAATTTTGTGTGTTCTACGTAAACATCTAACATAATTAATCATTAATCCATTGACTTTTTCGCAGGAAGAGATTTAGGACAAGTGAGGCTGTGTGAAGAGTTGGTGAATCAGGGCAACATGAGACACATGATGAATGAGTTTCAGGTGAGTACGTGACCTTCAACTGTTTCATTGGCATTTTAGACACTGGATGCAACATAAGGACACCTTCATACATAAAAAATATCTTGTCTTTATGGGCAATATCTTTCTCAATAGAAACCATATTTGGCATAACAAATGCTTGGACCCATGTGAGGAATATTATTAATTAAAATACTTTCTCCTGACGATGTATTTGTTTTCAATCTTTTTATCAAAATTTCGAAATATTTCATATCTATGTGTGTTTGAAGTGCAAACACTTCACGTTACAATTGAAATAACTCATTTTAAAGAATAGATTGCGGATTACGGGTACATTTCCCTCCTATACACATAGCTTGGCACCAGAAACACGTTATTTAACGTCTTCTTCAGATGCTTGCACCTCCGGACTATGGAGAGACAAAGTGTGGAGCTTCGGAGGAAAACAGAGTGAAGAACAGACACAGGAGTGTTCTCCCATGTAAGTAGACAGGTCTAATGTACTTTCATCCTCAAGTGCGTTTCGTTCAGGTATTATAACAACATTTGTCAAACTTCATAATATATTGTTGAAATTAATGATACATTTTCTTGACTGTATGTTTTTCAAACATCCTTACCAACCGTCACTGCAGATGATGGAAACAGAATATTGCTCAAGCCAGAAGAAAACAACGATAGTGATTATATAAACGCATCTTCATAAATGTGAGTAAATTGGTAGTTTGTTGTTACACACTGCCCCACAGTGCACATAGTACACTGACTTTCATAACTGTACTATTCATACATTTAGATTTTAATTTATGTTTTCATTTGATAATTTCATATTCGTCCAAGTAGAAACTCTAACTGATAACATAATGTACATGTGATAACACAAATACCTATTTTTGGGTCTCAAAATGTGTGTCCAAAACACTGTGAATGTATACACTGTATGCATAAAGTAATATTAAAGTCATGCTAATATCTGTTATATTTCCATGTATGTTTCAAGGGATACAGGGACAATATACGATACATTGCAGCACAAGGTAAACTCGCAGGGCATCTCTTTCGATTTGGAACAGATTTATTCAAATAATCACCTTGTTTAGTAACTAAAGGATTATTGTTCGATTGCGTATAATCTAGTACATTTAACAGTTAATTTGTCAGTTAACAGAACTGTCTCCGAACTTTACATTGCCAATATCTCATATGTCACAAGCTTGACAACACATGGTTTCCATTTGACAGGACCTTCATTTAAATCAGTTAACGACTTCTGGAGGCTGATATGGCAGCGGAACGCCACCAAGATTGTGCTGCTTACAGAACTTGCAGAAAACGGGAAGGTCCATGTTACTTCATCCTATCTCCAGTAAAAATAGAAACTATGCTGAGAGAAACAAATATAGGAACACAGGAAATTTATAGCTGTGAATAGGGCTGTGGGAGGAAATTTGAGAATAAATAAAGGAACACTGACACGAAGTGGTGTTCCCTTATTTGTTTCCCTCAATATATTATCAATGTGCCAATGACAAATGAAGAATCTCACTTGACTGTCATTTGACCTCAAATATAAAATGACCAGTCGATAATGTAGTAACTGAACCTTCAATTCTTTAGCCTTTCATCCAGGAGTGTTGATATCAAGTTGCATGTGAATAAGTGTATCATCTAATATCTTGTCACTTTGTAAATAGTTAAAACCAATGCATATGTTTATGACGGGTGCCTGCGGTGGGGTAGGATACGCTCACCGTTTGCCGAACACCTGGTATCATCACTATTTCATAGTGATTCATAAACACATGCTCTGTCATCGTATGGCATGGTGACAATCACTGGATTGTCTGATTCAGACCCGATTTGTTTACAAACAATTACCGCTGTAATACTGCTGAAACAAATATCTGCTCATGATAACGTCTCATGATAACATAGATGTCTCATGAATGTGGAAAGGGTTTAATCGCTTCTAGTTAGGTGATATATTTGTTAGTTCTATGTTGGCAGATCAAGTGTGCGAGGTACTGGCCAGTGTTTGGCTCCACATTTCGGGCGTATGGCACGGTCTGTGTGCAGTGTGTGGATGAGGCGGTGTTCCCATCTTACACTGTCAGGAACTTCGCTGTGTGGCAGGTCAGTGAAACTGAAACACTGTCTGTCCTGGGTCATTACGTCAGCAACGGTATTTGTAAAGGGACATAATCTATGACCCGGCATTTCATAATCAAGTGCCTTTCATTGGAAACTGTGTCGTCCGGTTTCAATGTGTTTGTATTAACACAGTGACGGAAATACCATGGTTGCAGATTCAGGATCAAGGCAAAATGTGTCGCAGCTACTTGTACACGCATGTTATAAGTAGAACACCAGGAAGTCTCCCGTTACAAGGTAGTGATGGAAGACAATGCTGTCTTCGTCCTACTAGATTGCACAGCAAATAGTGTAATGCTTAGGTGCAATTTACCTGTCCCTTCTAGCATAGCGTCAACGTCATAGAAACAGTAACTGAAATTCAATATATCAATATATATCTCAATGTCAACGAGGATATATATTTCGTTTGGAAGAATATTCTTCTCATGACAAATATTATAGATATTTATAAAAGAATGCATATTTATTATGCTGTATTCACCCTCAACCTCTTCATCCATGAATGTTTCCCTCGGAGCAGGTTGCTGGGGTTCCAACATATTTTCAAGTACTGTCACGATTATATATGTGTAAATATTTTGTAATCAACGTACGTCTTGTCTATAATGAAACTATGATGACTGTTTTACCAGGGGCACTCCGACACAAGGCAGGTTCTCCAGTTTCATTTCACCGCTTGGGCTGACCACGATGTTCCGAGAGATACATCGTTACTACTGGAGTTCCACAGGATTGTGAAGGACACAGGGCCAAACTCTAACGGACCTTTAGTCGTACAAAGCAGGTACATATGCATGCTGATATCTGACATCTCTCAGTTCCAAATAATCCTGCGAATGATAAAGTGTACACATAACCAAAATATTAAAATGATAATCATACCTTTTCTCAGTAACCGCATCGTCAGCGGACTGACAGATTAAGATTTTCTGCTTTGTCTCAATAAAATGGTTACTACAGAATTAATTATACCATTTCACTTCTAAGTATGGTGCTTTCGGGAACCTACTCGCTAACCCTGTCACAATAGGTATTATATAGTGATTCATGAAAAGTAGGAAGCGTACTTATAATTAATTACTGCCACTTGTAGTAACCGAAAATGTTAAGAACGTGAGTTGCATAATAATCAGTCAGAGTGATGAATATGCTGACAAGATATTCTTATGAAAAGGATTGTCGCTTCTATTGTGTATTGAGTCTTTACTGCTATTGATTAAGGTAACTGTTTATTTGTTAAGCGCTGGCGCTGGGCGTTGTGGAACATTCCTGGCGTTTGATTATCTGCTGGATCAAGCTAGGTACGAAGGTCGAGCTTGTGTCTACAGCTGCGTACAAACTTTCCGTGCTCAAAGGATGATGATGGTTGAAACAGAAGTGAGTGTTTATTGAATGTATAGCGGTTTCATACTGTGAGTGTGCTTTATGTGCAATTCAAACAATGAACACTTATAATTATATTTTCACTTAATACTTCATCTCACTAGTGGTACAATTAACAATATGATTTCATATAGTTAGAAGTAAATTATATTCCTGTATATTACGTAATAACGTTTTGCACAGCTGTTTATTTTGTGTTCCGCATTAATGTGTTCTGTAGCATATGCTCATCGTGTCTGCAGGAGCAGTATTCCTTCATCCACAACATACTGATTAGCGCCTTACAAACCCAGGGAACCCTTCCTAGTTACTACGATCCTGTACTTGTGCAGTGTGAAAAATGCTGGCGACTTGAGAATGAGAAACAGGGGTAAGTCAACTGTTTGGTGTGTGTGTCGGTTTACTGCTTCTTTAACATGTTGAGTGTTCATGATGGAGTGAGTGAGTGAGTGAGTTTAGTTTTACGCCGCACTCAGCAATACTCCAGCTATATGGCGCCGGTCCGTAAATAATCGAGTCTGGACCAGACAATCCTGTGATCAACAGCATGAGCATCGATCTGCGCAATTGGGAACCGATGACAAGTGTCAACCAAGCCGGCGAGCCTGACCACCCGATCCCGTTAGTCGCCTCTTCCGACAAGCATGGACTACTGAAGGTTCATTCAAACCCGGACCTTCACGGATGTTTATGATGGAAAATATTACAGCATACATGATGTATAAAGCCATAATATAACTTAACGACCTTTAACGACATGTGCTCTTGAGTTTTCTAGAAACCTGTAACAATTTGTTCGTGACTGTGTTATGGTATACTAGTTTACGACGCTCCAATTCTTTGTTTCCTGGGGATTTCGCTGACAAATTAGTGAGATGCTGTTGCTTACTGACACTGGAAAAGACAACCACAGTTTGTCTCACGCTCAATATAATACCATATCTTCTGACATACTGACATGTGCGACACGTTCAAATGTGGTCCGCTTGTGTTCACAGCTCGGATGACATTGATCAAGATCAAGACACTGATTCTGACTATGAGCCAGTGGCGTACGGTGACTTTGAAGACGTCAGGGCGTCTATGGTGCAACCCAGCGTCGTGGTTACGAGTGTGTGACTGAGTTTACAGATCTGTGTTGATGTTACGTCTTTCTATTTCATCATCCTGGAGAAATAAGACAATTTGCCACTTTAAACACAAGTTATGGTCATACTATTATTGCCCCCCGTGGCCATTCATTTTAAATAAAAATAATATCATTCATTGTACCGCGTGCACCGTGTTGAGAACATTACCTGTGCACCGCGTCACCATTACCTGTGCAGATTAGTGTCCCTCAGCCTCGACATGATTCGACAGTCGTACAAGCAGGTACATATGAATGCTGATAGCTGACATGTCTCAATTCCAAATAATCCTCCGAATACTAAAGTATACATATAAATCCAAAATGTTAAAATGATGATCATATATTTTTCACAGTAACCGCATCGTCAGCGGACTGACAGATTAAGACTTCCTGCTTTCCGTCTTAAGAAAATGGTTACTGTAGAATTAAAATCATTTCACTTCTGTGTATGGTGGCTTCGGGAACCTTAGTTATTCGTGGATTCTATTCCGACTATGGTCCATGTATATGTCAGTCCCATGACCACAAAGCTGGTAAAGGTGTATTCAGTTGGGAACTGCATGACAGCATGTTTTCCTCCTAAAACAATTTCACCGATTCACCCATGTCTTTGTAGCATGGCCACCCTTAATGGAAGAAAAACAGTGCAGTTCCTTCTTCACAATGACACGCCATGAAGGCGTATTTCGTCTTTCTGTAAATTTGTTGAAGGTCATTTGCATTACAATAATGATGGAATATATCAATAAAACATGTACCAAATAATTGTATTGTGATTTATTCAGAATATGATGCAATCAACGAATGGATTTAGAATATTATTATACTGAACATGTTTAGAGACATTTTCACTGTGAACCAGTAATAATTACCCCTCAGTTTCAGCTTACGAATACACATCCACAACGATTTAAAGCGTCTGTGAGCGAGTTGGGCTTAATTGATTTGTCAATTACCAAAATGATGATAAATTGTGTATATGTACAGAACATTCAGATGTGAAAAAGTCAAATCAGAATGATTTGACAGTAAAATATGTTTCGACTTATCAGACTCATTTCGTCCATATAATAGGTGTACTTGAATTTGATTTCTTTACATCAGGATGCATGTTGTGAAGATTTTGCATCCACGACAATCATATCGGGAAAACTCAAATATAATTCCGTGTTATTGATGGTGATTATAGAAAGAACCTTACAATCTTAGCATTTTTTGTTTATTTTGAGTTTGTATTTCCACGTGTACTTGCAACTACTGTTATACGGAATAAGCAAATGCCCTTTCGTGCAAGGCGGAAAATGAGTGTTTCGGATTCGCCACCCAAGTGAAATGAATATTCAATTAGCGACCGTGCGACACTGACTTCTTCGTGAATATTCATTTTCAATCAAACCGACCTGTAAAGTAACATGCAGTATGATTTATGAAAACAGATGATAAAGTATAAACATATGAGTGAGTGAGTGACTGAGTTGAGTTTACGGCGTACTCAGCAATATTCAAGCTATATGGCGGCGGTCTGTAAATAATCCAGTCTGGATCAGACATAACAGGGATCAACAGCATGAGCATCGATCTACGCAACTGGGATACAATGATATGTGTCAACCCAGTCAGCGAGCCTGACCACCCGATCCCGTTGTCGCCCCTTACGACAAGCATGGGTTACTGAAGACCAATTCTAACCCGGATCTTCACGGGTCATAAACATATGACAATACATAGGATATGGATTATACAGTTATCGTTACAACAAAAGCTATCACATTTGAGTTCATCTACTGTAAATTATAAATATATTGTGCACTTCATGGGTACGAACTCAAGTAAATATTGACGCTAACAGCACACGCTTATCGGGGTTTGATGACATACAAACAACCACGTCACTGAGAATGACCACCCGATCTCACGACCGACACAAGGCCGCATCTCCATGTGGGAGAACAAACACATGCCACAGAACCATGATGTCACGGGAATGCAGGCGGAGGCAATCACAATCTCAACACCTTATGCTCACATTAGAAGACCTTTCTTACAACACAGAGTACCAGGTATGGTGTTATATGCAGGTGCAGTTGCAGGTGCATTATAAAGGACACAAAGACGATGTTCAAGTAGGTTGTAGCAGTGATATATATTTCAGTAACTTTAAAGGCCAATTCCTAACTAGCTGTAACACAATCAGCAGGTCTGGCATTCGATTTAGTGAACAAGAGCGATACATAATATGAGATAGAGATGTCAAACCTTTATGGATGATCCACTTCTTTATTTTCACGATGGCGACCTTTCGGTATAGATTCTTTTGTATGTCATCTCGCATATGCTTGAAAACGGTATAAGAATCTACACCGAAACGTCGCCATTGTTGAAATAAAGAAGTTGATCATACATAATGTTTTGTCATCTCTATACCACCAACTGCTAGAATGCCACTCAAACAAATAATGTGAGATAGCACTGCGCATTATTTATCCATTTGTATGAGCAATCTGCTTCCGATCACATATGCTGGTATTTCACTGCATACATTTATAACCTTAATTATAATGTGATTTGCTGGTTGAAATCATGACAGTTGACATCATCGTCTGTGAAAATATATTTAGATACAGGGAAATCATGACTGGTATTGTTTAGAATTAAGGTGGCCACCAGTAACACAATTCTAACTGGAAGGAGAAACCAGCTTGTGGTATGGTGGAGTATGAAACTGACACCATTGTGGATAAAGCATTCGTAAGGTAATTTCTAACACATTCAGATCTGTAGTTCTTTTGCGATATTGCAAGACAAGTGGCTTAATCCTTCCATTTTGATTCTTTGATGGTCTGTCATTTGGCTGTAGAAGAAATGCACTCAAGTATTCCATATTTTACAAAATATTCCGAAGACATATGGATATATCAAATTGAAATAAGCTAATTTTCAAATTCAACAGTAAGTTTGCGGCGGTATATACTGGTTGTCATATCAATTGTTTTCTATTAGGCTGGTGGAATACTCGTCAACACAATTAAAACAATTGAATTCATGGACGCCAAGGACATTCATCTACTATGAGTTTCGTTATGTGGCAACATCGGTATCACATGAAATGACTAGTCGAAACATATTCTTCACATTATCACAATAATCCATGTAATAATAAATGTTATTCAGATTATTATGGAAAAGGGGCTATCTATGTTTAATATGAGTTAAATTCTAACCTTTTCATAATTATTACAAAACATGTCGTCTTCATTTTGACGAATTCAATATTATCTTATTGTAAATCTCACCATTTAAACGTGGACAGAAACTCGACAAACAAACATTCTAGAAATTGAGCCAACCATCGGTCTAGAAGCGAATGTTATTAGCCAGCCGGAAATATATATTTCCGCGTGTGAATAATATATGTGACTGCGGTTGGTCGACTGCCGTGACAAACTGCCGTGTTATGTTACACATGGTGCCAAAGTCGCTTAACCTTACATGCAGTGTATTCCTACATTCATCGACAGAAAGGTAAGACTGTTTCTTGATAAATATGAACGATAAAATGTAATATTTAACATTTACCTTTTACAATTTATATAAATTCACTGTCAATGTATTGTTGCAAGTGTGAAAGTATAACTCAATGTGGAATGGTCTGACATACAAGGACATTAACAAATATAATTTCATTTCTAATGTGCGCATATGCTATGATCTATGCTTGACTTCAGATTACTCATTGTATGCACAGCGTGAAATTTCTAGCCCCATGTAGATTGATTGTGTATTTATCCTTAAACAAGTGTTGACAATTTACATATATAAGCATTCGCCTTGATAATACATTACTTTGTTCGATGTACGCGTGTGCGTGTGCGTGTGCGTGTGTGCGTGCACGTGCACGTGCGTATTCATATGTTTTCAATTATAATAAATCCTGCCTATTCTTACAGATGAGGTCCACAACACGAAGAGATGTCCTCATAACGCACGAATAACAACGACATGGCTTCTTTTGTACATGCCATCGGTGTCTTAGAGCTTATTATACATGGTAAAGACCTGGATCTACTTGATAATCCTTAATCTAACAAGTAGCAATACTTGAACAAAATACGCTACTTTGCATTTGCTATAAACTCCCAATCTTATGCATATTTCTATGGGGGCGGTGGGGTAGCCTAGTGGTTAAAGCGTTCGGGTTCGATTCCCCACATAGGTATAATGTGTAAAGCCTATTTCTTATGTCCCCCGCCGTGATATTGCTGGAATATTGCTAAAAGTGGTGTGAAACCTTACTTACTCACTCATATTTCTATCTTATTTGCATTTGATAACGCTGCATATACCAGTTTAATGAGAAAGTGTATGCACGATTTAAATTTTTACATCAAACATTGGTGAAGTGGCATGGGTAGTATACGTATTACAAATATTCATGTCCCTGGAACAAATCCGGCATATATTTACCATTTTGTTATATTTCGTTGAGTTGACAGTGGCCGACGAAAGGTACATATTGTGTTTCGATAGAACAGTGTGTCTGACCTTCTATTGCAAACCACCTCACTGCAGTTCCAACCTGTGACGGTAACAACGTGACCTGTGTTGACGGTGTGTGTCTACCTCGCTGTGTCAATGTGACGTCATCTGGAGAGTGTCTCCAGTGTCTGGACTCCAGGTTCTATGGTAAACAGTGTCAACATGACTGTCCAGACACCTGTCTCAACTCTCGCTGTCAGATGAACAACACCCGTGTTGTGTGTACAGAGGGATGTGTGGCCGGCAAGAAGGGAGATAACTGTGGTGTGAACTGTCCTACAGCCTGTACACAGTGTGAACGTTATGGTGATGGTTGTACAGGACCGTGTCAGAATCCCCAGTATTACGGTCAACACTGTAGAACACCTTGTCCCTCCATCTGTACAGGTGGATGTAATAGGATCACAGGGGAGTGTGGCAGCTGTGAGCCAGGTTACACAGGGGACAAGTGTGATGTTACCTGTCCCCCCAACTGTAGAGGTGGATGTGATAAAGACACAGGGGAGTGTGGCAGCTGTGAGCCGGGTTACAGAGGGAAGAATTGTAATGACACCTGTCCCCCTAGCTGTAGAGATGGATGTGACAAGGAGATAGGGCAGTGCGAGAGATGTAAACCAGGGAACAGTGGCAAGTACTGCAATACTTCCTGTCCTGATACTTGTAGGGAAGGATGTACTGAAGATGGATATTGCCTAGGTAAGTTGTAAATTTGTTTTTCTTTAGTCTTAATATCAATCTTACACGAATATACACAAATATCAAAAGTAGTTTTGCTGTGATTGTGTGATAGAATTACGGGAGATCGTGGCGGTTGTTATATATATTATATGTTATATATATTATATAGTTAACTTATGACTATGTATGATGAATGAAAAAAGCTACATCAAGGAAAGGAAAAACAATAAATATAACAAAGTGTGCATAAAAATATCCTTTCGGATTCCGGTTCAGAGTAGGTCCGCGAGAACCGATTATTATTGTACGTGCGGATACGGAGATGGATCTTATGTAGATTACCCAAGGTAGAGTGACAGCCATCAGCATGGTTACAGGGTACGTTCTGTAACTCGAGCTTCCCCTGATGGTAGAGATGGATGTGATAAAGACACAGGGAGTGTGTCAACTGTTCGTTGAAAATCACATTACTGTGATGTTGTCCCACAAACGGTAGATGTAGACATGATAAAGAAAAAGGGGAGTGTATAACTGATGTAAGACGGCAAACAGATAAACATATCCAGCTTTGTGTGGGGCAGACAGATGGATGCCCTACAAGAAGTGAGTTAACTGTACAATGAACTGTCCAACACGATATGGTGATTGTTGGACCGTGTTGAAATACCGGGTATCACTGCAGAACACCACCTTCTTATAACTGTACAGCTGTTAGAAGAACTGCGATGCTTCCTGTCGCAACAACTAATCGATAACACACAGAAGTTTGTCGGTTGTGATAAACTAGCCAAAGTATGAAGTGGAAAAAGTAGAAACCGCTGTATGGCTGTATGTCTGGCACATGATGAACAGAATGAAGCACAGCATCACACGCACGCACACACGCACATACGCACTTTTATACTCAAACACACACAAAGAGGCTTGTACATAAAAATATGCATGGGGATATCCGGTCACAATAAATAAATGGAGCCATAGTTAAGTGAGATTCGTATCTATATGTTGTATGACATTACGAAAATATCTACCTACCCCGTTTCAGTTAGAGATTTGGTTCACAAGTTACAATATATGGAACAAGAATGTTTACGCGAGGATGTCGAGTCAAAGTCAATGTCAATAATAATAAATTTGCATGTCATTAATTTCAGGACTGGGTGTCGTTCCCATTGCGGCTGTAGCATCTGCACTTGTTGTGGCAGCTTTGCTCATCGTCCTGTCTTCCGTGCTTATATACAAAAGGTGCGTTAAGAGTTAAAATAGGCATAAATAGATCACATCTGATCTTTAGCGTATGAAGGTATCGATACTTTCGCACCATGCATCATCTGAACTTTGTGTTATTGTTTTTAATAGAAGAAGACTGAAACGACGACATCATTTTCCGATAAGAATATTCCCAGGCACCTCAAATCCAACCTACACTTCATATGCTGGTGAGAGCTTGTAATTATGCATATCTGTTTATGTGTTTAATAATAGTAAACTATTAGTACCGTAGTATTGTTGTAGCTTCTCATATTATATACATGTGTCAAGTAATGTCGTGTTAATAAACATGCTGTGTTATTATTGATATAAGACATCTCTTGAGAAAAGTGACGGAATGCTATGAGTTCGGTATTATGCAAATAAGTACCTAAATATGAAAGATAGATATAAACGTTATTTGTATTGCATTGTTCGGTGTGAAATGGTAGTATTTTTAGGAATAAAATATGCAGAATAGATGTCTTCTAATGTCGCCAGATTCGATGTTACATGTCGACGTATGTGAGGAGCTTTGTGGAGATGATTGGATGAATCACATGCTAGAAGAGTTCAAAGTGAGTATAGTCAGAGAATCGCAAGTTCCGATGATCTGATGACGAAACTACCCCACGTTGCGTAAAACGTAAAATAGCCTTGCAAATGATCAATATATATAATTGATAGTCTATATTTCCATGACCACTTGGTGACAGTGACTCACTTAAGATATGGAATGACAAATGCAAAATGTCACTGCAACTGTTGGCATAGTATGATTCTAAAATATTATTTCATCACTGTTATTCTCAGTCGAATGTGTTTCTAGCTAATGTGATGATTACAACAATATTGTTAAAATTCAGTGTGTGCAGTAGAGCAGCTGGTGAGAGCAGCAAAAATTACATGTTCTAATCTGCTACTGTTATTCAACCTCCTGTTTCAGAAACTGCCTACTCCGGATATCAAATCAACCTACTGTGCCTCCTTGGAAGAGAACTTCGAGAAGAACCGATACAAAGATGTGCTTCCGTGTATGTTATTGTAACAGCTTGGTGATTGTTATACATCTTTCATGTATGTATGTATGTATGTATGTATGTATGTATGTATGTATGTATGTATGTATGTATGTATGTATGTATGTATGTATGTATGTATGTATGTATGTATGTATGTATGTATGTATGTATGTATGTATGTATGTATGTATGTATGTATGTATGTATGTATGTATGTATGTATGTATGTATGTATGTATGTATGTATGTATGTATGTATGTATGTATGTATGTGTGCACGTGTGTATGTATGTATGTGTGTGTATGTGTGTGTATGTATGTATGTGTATGTATGTGTGTGTATGTATGTATGTATATATGTGTGTGTATGTATGTATATATGTGTGTGTGTGTGCGTGCACGCGTGCATGTGTATTTCCATCACTATTTCAAGTTTGATTTCAAGGATTTCAAGTTTGATATCATATATTTATGCTAGTTCCTGTTCTTGTCGTTACGTTGGACTTCATGTTCACAGTTGATGCCACAAGAGTGCCTCTGGAGATAGAGGAGGAAGACGACAGCGACTACATCAACGCCTCCTACATAGATGTAAGTAGATACAGCTCCCAAAAAGTAAATTATCTGCAAACATCTAAAGCTTAATCCAACATCAGTATACACTGTAACTACAGCAAGGAACCAAACATAGCAGCGCAAGGTTACTGTTAGTATTTTCTACAGACTTAGTTTAATAAACCCTGGGCTAATTAGAACGTTTTACACTTACAGGGGTACAGACAAGGAACACGCTATGTAGCAGCGCAAGGTAATTCATGGTCATATATGTCATAGTGAATAGCAATTTGTATTCCAAACAAATGATATAAATAATGTTTACTTTCTAATGTCCAGACTTTGGTTGCCCAATAATTAGCTTCTGCCAGCTGATCTGCCACTTTAACTAGATGCTGTGTGGTTCGATAGAAATTCTGTGAGGTTACTTCATATGTAAGTGAATCAACGTAAACGCATTGTTACAGGTCCGTCGGAAGAAACAGTTGACGACTTTTGGAGGATGGTATGGAAACTGAACAGCACCAAGATTGTCATGGTTACTAATCTTGTGGAGGCGGGGAAGGTGAGAGCACAAATATCAGAAACATTTGTTTTGTCTAACAGGGCTGAATAAGAAGGCTGGACTTCAATGAACAAAAATTCTTAAAGATATAGGTTTAAGTAATATTGGTAGATTGTATATTCAAATTCATTGCACTTTAATGTGTCTATCCTATCACTTGCAGGTGAAGTGCGAGAGGTACTGGCCCTTCTGCAGCGCTGAGGCAACGGCCTACGACAGAATGAGTGTTCAGTGTGTAGAGGAGAAGGTGTACGAGACCTACACCCTCCGCACTCTGGCAATCTGGAAGGTAGGTCACCTACACCCTTTGCTCCGTATCCATCTAAAACGTAGGCTTCCTTCAAGCTCTCCTCCCTGGCCACCTGGACAATAAGTGACCTATACCTTTCGATCCATGACCATTTGGAACATAGATGATGTACATGTCCACTGCCATCTTTCTGACACCTGGAAGGTAATTATCCTGCACCGTTTATGCCTGCCAGATATTTTGTTGATGGGGATTTTAAATTAACCTTTCCACAAAAGTAGACTCCTGTTTTTCTTATTCCCTGTAAGAATTTCTATACACCAAGCTCATCCTTCGCATATGTCACTGCAGGAGGGTACAGAGACAAGAGTGGTCAACCAGTTCCACTTCACCAAATGGCCGGACCACGGAGTTCCGGAGGACAGCACTTCACTGTTACACTTCTACAAAGTAGTGAAGGACACAGGACCTGATTTGACAGGACCATTAGTTATTCACTGCAGGTAACGAATTAACCATCTTCAAATAAGACCATCTTCATTGCAAAATAGTGGAAGGTGTGATGGACAACAGATTTCAAACTATTTGGATATTAGTTCATAAATCAGTAATACTGTAATGAAACCCCGGTGAAGTATTTCAATGAGTTATCCATTGTAAAACTTGAAGTCATTTCACCTTTTCTTATTTCTTTTTCATATTTGTACCCTAACAGTGCTGGCGTTGGACGTACTGGGACATTCCTAGCATTGGACTACCTACTGGACCAGGCCCGGAACGAGGGTCGAGTCTGTGTCTACAACTGTGTGCAGCACTTCCGTATGAAGAGGATGAAAATGGTTCAGACTAAAGTAAAGTACATTTATCTGTATCGAGTGTGTATGTGATGCATTCTTGGAACCTTATATCATTGCTAAATTAAGTCATATCACATAAAAGTCCAAATGAAATTACACGTTGGTGTTAAAAACTGGCATAACTAAACTAAATCTCCGCCGGTCTGTTCCAGGAGCAGTACGTCTTCATATACAGTATTGTGAACTCGGCGCTACGGTCTCTAGAGATCCTCCCTCGTGCCAAGAAGCCGGTTCGAGTCCAGTGTGAATCATGCTGGTCCAAGTGCAATGCAGAGAACAGGTTGGTCACTACGTATAACATATTGACATTCCACATATCACGCATCAGCGACAAAACGATTTAATTCGCAAATTTGTTTTTTAACATGACTGTAACATGTAACTGTATATGTTGTTTCTGACTGGTGTCACCGTTGGGCAGAATATGCTCTTTAGGTACACCTGGAATCGTCAATATTTGATAGCGACTATAAAAACATGATTTAGTCTAAATCGCACAATGGGCTGTTGTTTTGAAGAAATTCTCATTTAATTTGGAAACGATTCGGTCGCATTTATCTATATGCATAATTATATTACATGCATATGTAATGCCGGCATGCGGTTAATTAACTGATTCTTTATCTATGATATCTGGAGCCATAATTGGCTATAAACTCCATTCAGTCACCCAGTAGACTGTTATGGATCTGGTAGATGTCACCAGCTGTCGGTGTTAAATAGTGTGTTTCTGTGACAGTGATGGAGACGGATCTGTGGATGAGGATGAGGAGTATGACCTGCTGTGGACGTGCAGGTTGGACAAGAGGAAGAAACTCCTTCCAGGAGGACCGAAACCTCTCCCAGATGTCATTACTGTGGTCAGCGAAACACTGCCCTTGCTCGAAAGAGGGGCGGATCATCATGACGAGGAGAGACTTTCACCAGAGGAGACAGAGAAAGAGGACGGGAGAATGAGCTGGGTCACAGCCCTGTAGGATCAGCAGAGACAGACCGACACAAAAGAAAAATTATCGTGTTCCAATAATGTAGTACTACATGTTTAATCAACGCGTATCAAAGGATCGTTACATATAACATAAGGATGAGTGTAGAACTGTATATGTTTTACATGAAGCTGGTGACATTTTGCTCTTTGTATATAGCCTTATTCAATGTAGCTTGTTAAAAGGTATTTCAGTGATGACATATGCAGCGATATAATGATTATATTGTTTTATTCACTCAACTAACATTGCAAGAATTTATTGTGTACAAACGAAAGATGCATTATTTCCTTATTATGTATATTTACCGTAAAACACTTTACCCAGGAAACGGTTTGTCATACACCCTTTCCTACTCACACCCTTGTTGTTCATGTCAATTATGTGCCACTAAACACTGTTCACAACTGAGATGCTTATTTGCATGATATATACTTCAATACGTGTTTCCTTACTTCCAATAATAAAAAGCTTCAAACCCAAGCAAAGACAATCAGAGCCACGGGGACAATCTGAGAGGTCATAATTGAAATGAAAGATGTCATTATTGCTAACACCAATTATGTTTCAAGATCTATTTTCTTTAAAATATTATTTTCGTGACATCCAAAAAGAATATGAGACTCATCGTCCTCATGGAACTTGCGTCATGTATGAAGTCGCGAATGTTTAGGAATAGAGTTGATGTCAGGACAACTTAATACAAGCAATGTCCATTAAGTTGAGTCTAAAATGAAATGAAACATTATAAGGAATTACTATTTTTCAAGGAACAATATAAAGAATGAGGACTATTTCTATGGATATATAACTTCTTTATTCTGTAAAGTCGACGTTTCGACATCGAGATTCTAATGTCGTTGTTAAGCAAGTGGTGAAAAAAGTCCTCATTCTTCATCTACCCAACTTCTAGAATGCTAATCAAAGCAATAAAGATTATGTGACCTTTGTGGATTGTAATCGGTGAATATAATGCTTCAGTCCGCTGTATATATTGAGGGACATGCTAGTTTGTTGTCAAGGGTGATGCTTAACCTAATATAGCACTTACACGTGTGTGGTAGTAACGGTGTGAGCAACAATGTGTATATTTGTATATCGTCTTTACATAAAGAGTAGACAAACTGTATATAACTAATTAAAGGTTAATTAATTCCTATCTGATAAACTGGAGAAAGGTTAATTCAATATTGCATTTACCCACTTTAACATATTCATGTTATATTTTATTGGAACATTATGTGTAACGTTCGATTCAAATCCATAAGTTCATAATACATGTGAGTTGGATGACAGGAACTGACTCAAACACCTCACTCACTCAGCTCACTCATGTGGCACATGAAAACGTAATTAATAAACCAAACACTAAATTTGGCATTTAGAATAGATTGTTGATAAGTTAATTAAAACTGCTTTCGACAATATGCAAGCGTATTAATGAAGGCATCAGTATTGACGTCTCAATTGTAAATAAAACTCAATTGTAAATAAAACTAAATTTTAAATGCAACTCAATTTTAAATACAACTCGATCCTTCAGTATCACTTGTTTACACCCTTGTTTAATTTCCTTTTCATGGTTTGTATTCATCTGTTCCTATGTTTTCGCATCAAATACATCTGATGTGTATATACGACCGTAATTGTTTAAATATGTTATTTTCTGTATGATTTGCAAGGGACTATATCAAGATGATGATTATTCTAAAGTCGTGAGTAGCAACCGTAATTGTTTAAATATTTTATTTTCTGTATGATTTGCAAGGGACTATATCAAAATGATGATTATATAAAAGTCGTGAGTAGCAACTGGTAACTGTGTAACTGTGTAACACAGCGAGTTTCGGGTTATTTTCCCGAAAAATACGACTATGGTGGAGTTTCGTTTCAAGGTTCAGTTTCACGGTGTGTGTTGCGGAAATGTCTACGGAAACAAAACTTTAACAAAACTGCCCGGGGCAACATTTTCAAACTCTGATGTTTTTCTTTCCTGCGTTGCATTCTCTATTTGATTTACCAGAGCGGAATCACTCGTTAAGGCATTTTTAATAACATAAAGCGTCAAACAAAAAATAGCAAGTCTTGACTATCCTTCATTTGAAGACCCGGGTTAGAATTGGTCTTCAACAACCCATGCTTGATCGGGTGGTATTGCGTAGATTGATGCTAAAGAAGTTGATCACTTGATTGACTTGATTATTGACAGATCGCCACCATATAGCTGTAACATTGCAGAGTGCGGCGTAAAACAACAAACCAATCAACCAGCCTGAAAACAGTACCATGAGTGCAGTTTAATATAATAATGTATTGGTGTAATTTGCTTCTCACAAATAATCTTATTCTTCGTAATTGTTATGAATGTTTATATGAGGAAATGGAGACCCGTGGTGTTAATAACTGGGCGTATCAGGTGAAAAATATTTTATCTAGCATTGGTGTCAATGAATTATGGCTTAGACAAGAGATATGTCCTGCATACCTACCTGTTGTAAAGCAGCGAATCTTAGATCAAGCGTCTCAAGAGGTTTTAGTAATTTATCGAATTCACCAAAATGTGTAATTTATAGAAATATTATTGATAATTGTACACTGCAATATTAGCTATGTAAAACTTTCCTGAACCTCTTTAGGAACTATTTATATAAATTCCGACTAAGTTCTCATAATTTAGCAATAGAAACTGGCAGATACAGTTATGTTAACATAACAGAAAGAAAGTTTTTTGGTGAAGACGATAATGAAGACGAGTTCCATTTTATGTCAGTATGTCCATATTATAATAACTATAGAAAGTCATATATAAAACCATATTACTACAGATGTCCATCAATGCATAAACTTATTCAACTTTTAAGTGGTAGAAATCTAAAAAAGTTATGTAATTTAGGTAAATATTTGTATAAAGCCTGTTGTCTCAGAAATTAAATGATTGCTAAAAATAGGTAATTTTCTGTACATTCTCAATTATAGTCAATGTCTAGTCATCCACCTGTACCAATTTTCGTGTACTACCGATTGTCTGTAAAGTTAAAGCTAAATAAAGAATCTGAATCTGAATCTGAGTATTAGTGTGCTGTTTATTTTTTCTAATGCGTCTATATTTGAATGAGCAATATTCTGTATTTTGCAAATAATCAAGAATTTACAGTTTGTTGACACACACACACACGCACACACACACCATAGCTCTGAAATAGTTTTCAGTCCATGTGTACGTTAAACTGATTTACGTTTCATGTGTGCGTACAGTTGAAGATGGATTTATTGTACAAAGGTATATATTAGGTTCTAGTCTAGATATCCTAAATAATTGCTTTGTTAAACATGTTTAGATTGACTGATTCTCTTCAGACGATTCTGTTTACGACATGATCACTGCAATAACCTGTACAAGCGTATTGTGCAGTCTTTCAGTTATCAACCATACAGTTGAAAGGAGCTAGTTCAATCCCTTGCAGCGTCAACCCGAAAAGACGCTAAACTATGGTAGATGGTGATACCATGACTCGGCATTCAGGGGCTGTACATAAACTGTTCGGCAGGGAGTCACTGTAGCAGTTGCGTCCCTTAGTAGTATCATGATCCGCTGATCGTAGCTTGGAATCCGAGAAACTGTTTATGATCATCGGTGGTAAAAGTCTGTGATCTGCATCAGTTCAAACTTACCTCAGACATTACGGTGACCTACGATGCTATAACATGTTTTATTTGGAAGGATAACAAAAAATTATATGGATGAACAACTTCTTTATTGCTGTGAGAGCGACGTTTCGGTGTCGGTTCTAACACGTTATCCAGCAAGTGTTAGAACCTACACCGAAACGTCGCTCTCACAGCAATAAAGAAGTTGTTCATCCATATATTGTTATCCTTCCTTACTGCTCCAACTCCTAAATGCCTCTCAAAGATGTTATGTTTTATTTGGGATGACACTTTCCCAAGTTCAGATTCTAGTACTTTTTATTTTGTCCCATCCGGGATTCGAACCCACACTCTCTGAATCAGGCACCTAATCACCAGTACACATAGTCATCCACCTAACCTACTCAGCCTCCACGGCATCCCTCGCAATGCAATGTTTGAAATACTGTGTTAAACGAATATCGACCGATCACTTTCATGTCAAATTGAGAGTGTGTATGGACATATGCATCTAATTAGAAATTGAACACAATTAACCATTGCGTTGGTAGTTAAGTGTTCTTGAGGTTGATTCTGAAGTATTCTGAACGTGCATTACAGTCAGGAAAACTGACGCAAGTATCAATCGTCATTCAAAATTATTGAGAAATGATACACAAGCTATATCGTGACTTGTGATTCCACTGAAATATAATTCAGCAAGTATAATCTGGTCTGCCCTTCGGCGCCGGGCTCGGTGACTTTGCTTCCAGAATCAACGTTTTCTCATAATTCCCTCATTACGTAGCAACATGACCTTTGACCTTGACCCTTACTCACATGGTCATCGGATGTAACTGCGGGACTTTATTACAAATTTTCGCTGAAAAAAGAAACGACTTGGTTTCAGCTAAATATTTCCGCGATACAATTTGTCGATTCATACCAGCATTCCATTCTGATTATGTGTCTGTTTACCAGGGATTATGTTTAATGAGCACTCTGCTGTACCGTCAATGTTGGTACATGTAATTGTTTGTACAATGTACTGGGTTCAGGCCAGATTGGTTCAAGCTTTCGTTAAGGAAATTGAAGTCAGGGAAGTATGAATTCAATTGATAAGCACAAGACTATTTAAATATGTCCTCGTGGAACTTGACAAGAAGCAACTCGACCTGACCGTCATGTGAAAAAATGAGACATTACCCTAACTCAGACCTACATGAGATAGACGACCTGGTTACTACATTATCATAAAGATTAATTTTGTTGAAATTATATCGACGTTATTGTTAATTGTTCCCGAAGCTGACTTCGCTAACACAAGTATGATATCTGAACATTACTAGACCACTCTCGTTGATTTGGGCCAATGTTATCCTAGTTCGGAGTGAGACCCGGTAACATGGTTCACTCTGTGTGTCATCGGATCCGGACGCTGCTCATATCAACCACATGTTTATCTGTCATAGCCACAATCATTTACAGGTCGCCATGACATTCTTTTGACTGCCGTGTAAAACAACATCCATTCAGTGTTTACATAGTCAATGTTTCCGGACTATTAAGACTGATATCCACAAGGTTCAACTTACTTTTCAGCTATCATAATAATTGTTTTTGACTACTGTTGACTTTTCTTTAGTTAAATAAAAAGCTTTCTGTGCAAGAAATACAAACTGATATTTGTTGATAAAAATTCCCAAGAGTGATGTGAATGTGACAACATCATTCATTCCTACAAATCACTTAACAATTGTGAATACTCAAGGTAACTTTGCATCCTGCTCACAGCAGGGCTGACACACCAGATATCTGACCTATCCCTGAAGTCATCCAAGTGTGAGAACATCAAGTTTCTTTATACTACACTTGTACACCGTAATGTGTCGACCTTACGGTTATTTCGAAGTAAAAACTTGCTCATTCGTATTATTGTATTTTTCATTCGTTTGCCGAATGTGTCGAACGTTTTAACGTAGGTTCCTTCAGCTTCCACATAGAATTGTTTGATTGGGCATTAACATAAATTAAATTGTAGCTACATGTTTATCCGCTCTTAAGCACTTCTTGTAGACATGGTTCCTTTTCTCAACATTTTTACTGCTGTGAATGGGTACCCGAGAGGATGAGATGGCTTCATGAGAATTAACCTTCTACATCACGGGTAGATTAGGCTGTGCTCCTCAGGGAGGGGAAACAGAAAATCGAATGTACACTGATAAATCGATCGGGGAAAAATATTAATTTGACGTACTAGAAATTGAATGACATTTATTTGTCATTATCGGCAAGGATATCGAACACTCGACAATATCAGGTGGTGACAGGAAGATTAGTCGATGTACCTCGAACGAAACCAAACCAGTTTATGACAGGCTTTGGTGTTAACCGTCATCACGCACGCTGTAATCAAAGGGAAGCAATTCTGTCAATATAGAAAGTGCATGTATACTTTGTGTGTGTCTCATTTGTGACCTTAGTAGAAAACTAACGAAACAACAATTAATAGAGGTGAAACATAAAGAAATGCTGAATTCTGTTCTTCATTTGTTGAAGGGAGCTGGACAAATCAATCAACAGTTTACAATTTATGTAAAATCGAATATTGCGTCAAATGATCTCTGTACAACACACTGCTTTACTCGCATATGACAAAATATTGTTGCTATAGTAATGGCATGTCTAGTGTCGAGGATCAATAACGTGAATCTATCCTGTACTATCAAATTTCTTGCTCATGATGCCGAAAACAGCACAAAAGATAAAAGTTCTAAATCCAAAATATCTTCGGATGTTGTTATATTCTGGATTTACGTTGCTTTTCCTGTCAGAAATTTACATTTCACCGCAAAACCCCTCAACATACACTGTAAGTAAATCGGAGTTATCTGTGAGAAAAGGGTATTTTCTGTGATCAAATCTTCCACAATCGCGAATAAGCGTTAAACAATAGCTTTATTTATAATACGTTCACGTTGCTCAAATATCTACCAGAATTATCAGGTTACAAACTGATCTGAGTGAAAATAGAACAAAAAATTTGCACGTGTTCCGTGTCTGGAACTCAGTTTTAATATCGTCCCCATTCAGAGGAAGCAATATCTGTGTCAACATGACACCGACGATGACATGCTCTTTGCTCTTGTCACTGACTCACATTCCATTTTCCTCGATTCTATATTGTGTGCATTATTTAAATATTAATACAATGAGCTTTAATATAATTCCTTGTTTCCTGAACTATATTCATGTGGTAATGGCTAAATTAATGTCGGACGAAGCTTTTGACCCAATTTGGAAAATATGTCTGTTCTGTTAAATTTCACTTTCCAGTTTGTAGGTAGTATGTTTAAGAGTATAATAATCAAAAACTTAATATTACGACATTCAGCGTAAGGCGGAAATATTTCATATACATGTAGAACTTTGTATTTCATTTTCCTATTTGCATGAAGCTCCCTTTGGTTAATGTTATGTCAAATCATGAGAGCAAAGTACGGGTCATTGGGGACAATGGAGACATAAAACCAAGTTCATGTACAGTTTTATTTATTAAAATACAGAAAACATGAAGTTCTACGTATGTGCAAAGATGACGACTCTCTCCACCTTCACAGTTCATGTGAGGTTTCATGGCAGTTACATGATATAATTTAACAAACGTGAAATGTTTTATCTCTATCGTGGACCATAAAATGAGGACATATTTACTTATTTCTCCTAAGTTAAATATTGATACGTTTTGTTTAGAATAAGATTACGTACGCTACGACATATGTACAGCAGCTGACTTCATTTGATGGATCTATTATTAATTCGTAGATTAAATTATTTCTGAGGATTCAAATTACGCCAATGGTTTAACTATCTACAACGTACTTCAGTAACGGATAGGTACTTGGAAATATATGGTTGAATACCTGGAGAAGACGTTACCATGACCGATTAAAAATTAAGTCAGCCAGATTAATAACAGTGATTCTAATGACTGAAGAAAGGGCCCAGTTTTAAGAATGATCAAACGGAAACTAAGTCATTATCGTAACTATACAAGAACATTTTATACATATGCCAAGCCTGCATTAATATGTGCGCTGAAATAGGCTCGAGTGTATACTTCATCATTGTTGATACATGTGCATAATCTATAGACGGAGGACAAACATGATGACTTTGTGAATAGAGAAATATGCATAAAATTATTTATGTACATACAAGTTGGGAAATGTCAACAAATCTCATATTTTTCGCACATTTTACGTTGTTAACATTGCGTACGAAAATGAATTTTCATATCTAAATTATGCAAGTGAGATAATTGGTGGTTCGAAAGCTCACTCCAAACATGTTCAGTAAAATGTCCGATTCTATAAAGACGCAAAAGTTCGGTCAGTTTAGACAATGCATTCATTTAAGGACAGAGCCTGACTTGAAGAGTAATAAAATGAAAATGGCCGTCATTTAGAAATTAACAGCAAGGGCGTGTCAGACTAGAGGCGAATTGTGGCTTGATGAACACGCAGAACACCCTTCAGTGGATACACGTGTGAGGAGTACATGTGGTATACACAGGCACTTTACGAAAGGTCGAATTTCGAGTCAGGTGCATGAACAATGACAGCCCATCTGGAATCACCTTGCATCTTGAAGAGAAAGGGCATTCGCGGGTCTATTTGCCACCGGTCTCATCAGCACACCATTACACCTGTGAAAGTGAAACACATGATTGAAGAAGTAACTTCATGACAAAAAGTGTGTTGTTTGTCAAGATGCTGCGTCGTGAAATTAATAATATAATTATTATTTTCCAACCCTTTTCAAATAAGTGAAACTACTAATTTCAGATGGAAATAGTTATTTAAAATTTGAGGAATGTCACTGGAAAGAAATAATTGTGCTTCAGTTATGATATGACTATGTGTCTTTCTTGTATGGGTACAAAATACGCTTACGCCAAAGAATACCGGGAACTGAAACTTTAACTCATCACATCATTGAAATGGAGTACTTCACAGTATATGGTAAATGATACCATGATGCTTACACAGGTTGATGGGGGACGTTCTGCCAGCATCGCTGGCACTGAAGCCACACAGGTCTACAATTGTCAGGCAGTATCCCCCGGGTCTTCAGGGCCTCGACCAGGGCATGGTACAGTAGAATGTACTGCTCCTGCAAAATATGTTAAAGTCCCTGAATCCATCTTTTCTTAAACATACACACATATATGTCATGCGACAACATGACAAACACAGATTGTTATTTGTTGTTCAGTGTAACTAAACCCTCATTGATAACATATTAAAATGCTTAAATATCAGTCTACGCACCACTGTGTTCACCATATTCATTCGCTGCAGTCGGAATCCCTGGACACAGGCGAACACACAGGCTTGGCCTTCATACCTCGACTGCTCAATCAAATGTCCCAGGGCCAGGAACGTCCCCGTTCGTCCAACCCCAGCACTGCATTAAAACAGGAGAGAATAATTACAGGACATGTTATCGCATTATGACAGTTCCAGTAAAAGTGACAACATCATTTATTATGATAGTCCAATGTATAGATCTTACTATAACATTATCATGTGTTCAAAGTATTAATAGATGATTCTGGGTGTTTGTAAAAAGGTGGGAAAACATAGAATGTCACTGGGTACCTGGACATATGGTCAATTTGGAAATATCGTGTAGACTTCTCACTAAACATTTCTGAAAGCCTTATTGATGCCTCGAAAGCAGTAACCCTGATCCCTTTACTTTTGACACAATACATATTGTCACTCTGAATCTCTTTGCATAGATAAGTCAGACCCAATGTGTCTATCTCGTGTATGTCTAATTTACTTTGGCAAACCAGTGGAAGGAAATTGTACACTTGACGATAACTGAACGATAATGTCACACTGATGTTATCTTTGAAAAGCTCGTTTATACTCCGAAACGTTGTGTTCCTCATAATAAAGAAGTTGATATCCATAAATCTCACTTCCTTCTGTTTTTTCATGGTTATCAATTGCAGCATGTTGATATTTGTGTACGAAAGATACATTTGTCTGATGTGTATTATTAAGCTCAGCAATATAACCTGGTATGTTGAAATGTATATATGCAAAATTACAAGTGCGCGTACCTGCAGTGTACAACTGTAGGGCCTTCTTCATCTGCATCTGTGTTCTTGACCACCTTATAGAAGTCAATTAGCGTGGTCACTTCATCTGGTACACCATGTGCCGGCCACGATGTGTAGTGCAAGTGGTGTATCTTCCTTGTTTGAGAGTTGGCCTGTTAAACATATTTTTTATAAATTAAGATCATACTGTGAAAACAATTTTACTTTCGTAATGCACAATGCGACAGGCAAAAGGGTGAATAAGCAAATACTAAATATTGATTACTTTCCAAACGGCGAACTGTCTTGTCGTATAGTGTTCAAACACCCTCTCTTCAACACACTGGACAGAAACATCCCCGTAGGTCTTGCAGTTCATGCTGCAGCAAGGCCAGTACTTGTCACACTTCACCTGCAAGGTTAAAACAGGAGTATACAGTAAAACCTGTCTATCTGTATCCCTTTAATACTGAATCCATGCTTTGTTCAAGATTACCTCTGGGAATACTAACATACGGGAAACGTATAGCAGAAGTCAAGACACCAGACATATCCAGACATATTTTATCCAGCTTATTTACAGGGAAGGCTGCTGGGTACGTGGAAATGCAAGGGGTCCAGACAGGTTAACGGCCACGTGCAGTACAACGATGACCTATAACATCATTGTCAGCAGATTAATACCGATAAAAGCCTTGGGCAGTTTACTAACCTAAATTGCACACATGGTTTTAAGAATAGGAATTTCAATACAACGTACTGATGAAGGTTACTCTGATACTTACAAATCCTCCTTCTACAAGTCTTGTCAGCATTACGATCTTGGTGGCTTCAACCTGCCAGACCATTCTCCAGAAGTCCAGCATCAAGTGGCTCTGTGGACCTGTCATCAACATTAATATACACAGTTATATCTGAAGCAAGTGTTGTAAAACAAATGTTCACGACATTTTGTTAGTTTGATGCTAATTTGTTTACACAGAATACATTTTACTGATTTGTGTTATAGAAGTGCTGTTTATCGAACGTTGATATGAATTTCTATTTTCAATATTTGGAGGAACTAAACAGTAAACATGCATGTAACTACCTTGTGTTGCAATGTACTCTGATTGATTCCTGTAACCCTGAAAAAAGTAAAGAAAGGTTAAAACAACAGTTAAGTAGTAAGGCTTCTCAATACTGGATGTCCATGAAAATGTCCCAAACACTGAGACTGAATGTACTCACGTCAATGTAGGAGGCGTTGATATAGTCACTCTGATTCTCCTTCTCTACTGTCAGACAGACGCGAGTTGTGTCAACTGAAACATCATACATAGCAGTTAACATTTTCTTTCAGTGATCAATGTATAGGAGGACGTTTGGTGAAGAATGGTTTATTGTTAAAATATCTCAGAGTAAAACTTACAATATCATATTTAATATTTAATTAAATCTAAGGCACAGAACAAATACAAACACGATGTAACTAGGACAAAGACATTTGGAGAAAGATGTTTTTTTCAAAAGCAGGTGGAACAAGATCCCATTGGGCATTAAAAGTGCAGAGGAAATCTGTACATTTAAGAGAATGTTAAAATCGTAAATCTCTATATATTTTAATTATTGTAACTAACAGTAACCTTGACACTGGTTTTGGAGTCGTAGTTACTTACATGGCAGAATGTCTTGGTATCTGTTTTTGGTCATGTTTTCTGTCAGACGCCCATGGTGTGAAGCTTGGTTACTAGATGCTGGTAGATTCTAAAGAGCATCAAATGATATTGTCAAAACCACATGCACAGATTAATGTGAAAAGTATGTTGAAGCTACAGCTACAAAAATGATTGATGAAGAATAAAACTGAACAAACCCGAAATTCCTGAGCCATCTGGGCAACTGAGCTGTCTTCCTGAAGTTCAGGGCACATCTTAATGTGGGGAAGGTTCAGCACTGCTCACGGACAGAAGCATATATTAATACAACACATATAATGACTTATGTGTTTCTCATATACAGGATGTACGACAATATTTCACAAATGATGATAAAATCTATATCTAACTTGAATCCATTTAGAATTCTCTTTGATGTTAAGTGAAAACTTTCAGGTAAAGGAATAATTCTTTATGTAAAATGACACATCTTTTACTTCTTGCTGGTAATAATATTGAAAATGTGTCCGTTTACTTTGAGGCTAAAGACATGTTAAACGCATGTTCCTCTTACCAGCACCGGCATGTTCATAGAGTGGGTTAGCGGCAGATAGATCGGACGCCTCACTGATGTCATCTAGGCTTACTGCTGGGTTCGCGTTCTGTGAAATAGGGAGACGCCGAGCTGCTTTGCGTTTCAATTTGAGTTTGAATCTGTGAGAAAAACAGAAAAAGAAACAAATATGTACATGATTCACTAGATTCATTCGACACCAAAGACACAGTACTGATAAATCAGTTCATCTTTGGTGTTTGAAAAACGTCGTAATATGCCATTAGCTGTGTATTGTGACTACAAACTAATTTTGCTTCCGTGACAGATTATATTCCCTGGTAATTCTATGTGGCGCATGAATCCATGCATCACTTGGGTATTTTTGCCTGTAGTTTATTTCAGAACTCACATGTGCATCGTCCAACTTTAGTCCCCATTACATAATTACTATACACTGGAAGATGGAAAACAAAAATGCGATTAATTGAACTCACACTGACATTTAATCAAGTACTTGTTGTAAAGGATGCAATGAACTCCACGACAGTAGACGATTTGCTCTATATAGTCAAGAAAAGGTGCCAAAATTCAAATTAAGCCATTTATTCGAACCAATGGCTGAGCATTTACCTTCTCAGTATCAGGCAAGCAGCGACTGCCAGGCAGATAATCACAGCTACTGTCGTCAGTATGGCCCCCACGGTAAACATGTCTGCAAAGTAGTGATATGGCTTTTAAACACGTGCATTTTCACGGTCCATGTTGGTTAATGCTGTTTGCTGTTTCAGGTGGCAGATCAATAGATATTGTACATATAATTTTGCCAACATTTTGAAATCGACATATAGGGAGACTGTTCATGTTCTGTTCATGAAATTTAACATTCAGGTATATGCTTAATTATATCTATTTGATTAAATAATGACAGTTTTATGTATATGTAAACAACAGCTACAAACAAACGTGCTTTAGACAATTGGAGTTACATTACTATTGATTTTGATGTTACAGATCAGTACAGCGGTGTGAATTATCTAATATATCATCCATCCGACAATTACTAAAGTGTGGTCGAACAACAATTAATGCGTGCCCAGATGGCCATGAAAACCTTACATGTCGTCTCAAACGAGGAAGTAAAAACTGCGTTAACGAAGTTCCACTGCATTTACAAATCATTTCCGGTTTGAGTCGACCACCGAAATCACATTATTAGCCGTTTTAGAGACCCAATCTGAAGTCTCCCATTCACACCGCAGAATTCAACGTCAGGAATTGTGTCCGAGTCCACTTTGATCAAGCACATTTGTTCAAGTGTTTAATTCTATTCAGCAATTGTGCTTTTGATAGTTTGAAGAGTATGCACCTATAATGGTTAAATGGTCTCTTCTAGTTCTTTATAGCAAAATGTAACACATAGTAATCAGCACATCAATATAATATCATCAACACCTTTGTGTAACACTGATCCCCAATGTTGAAAACAAAAAGAAAAGTTAATAAATAGCTATCACTGAATTATCCTTAGAAGTACCTGTTGGAACGCGAAATGTTGAAGCATAGACGTACGAATTCAGCTGCCACATGTGTCTTTATCAAACATACAGATGGAGAGACAGGTACACCACACTTGTCCCCTGTGTATGGCTACAGCTGTCACACTCCCTGTGTCTTCATATCACATCCACCTCTACAGTTGGGGGACAGGTAACATTACACTTGTCCCCTGTGTAACCCGGCTGCTGTCACACTCCCCTGTGATCCTATTACATCCACCTCTACAGTTGGAGGGGTAACATCACACTTGTCCCCTGTGTAACCCGGCTCTACACTTCCCTGTGATCCAATTACATCCACCTGTAAGTTGGAGGGACAAGGTGTTTTGTGCAGTTCTGACCGTATTTCTGACACGGTCCTGTACAACCATCACCATAACGTTCACACTGTGTACAGGCTGTAGGACAGTTCACACCACAGTTATCTCCCTTCTTGCCGGCCACACATCCCTCTGTACACACAACACGGGTGTTGTTCGTCTGACAGCGAGAGTTGAGACAGGTGTCTGGACAGTCATGTTGACACTGTTTACCATAGAACCTGGAGTCCCGACACTGGAGACACTCTCCAGATGACGTCACACTGACACAGCGAGGTAGACACACACCGTCAACACAGGTCACGTTGTTACCATCACAGTTGGTGCAATGATGACTGTCTGCAGAAGCTGTGAAACATGAACGCAAAGGCTGAGCGAATGAATTATAAGTTAAATTATGTAGCTGAATTTTGACACATAGTTTACTTCGAGCGGTTCTCAATTTAGAAATAATACCACATTCATATAACCATAACCACGCATTTCGACTAAAATATAGTGGAAGGGACAAAATCAGTTCTTTATAAGCAGGTTCTTTATAGACTTATTTGTTGTATCTAAAAAATATATAAATAGTTATTTTGCACAATACACGATTTTAGATAACTCATACAGTGGTACAACGCCGGGTTAGTTCAATGTTAGACAACTATGCTCAAATAAAGGATTGCTACATGATCTTACCATTTGTTATGAGGCATGATGAAATGAAGAGTCGTATAAACCATCCAATCGCCATGGTTAGGGTGCCAGCGGTAGTGCTGTAATCACTTCAATAGTGTTCCATACCTGTCAAATAAAAGGAAACAGACTCAGAAAAATACATGCATACTTACAAATAATCTTATAAAAGAAGTAAAATTCCTTAAATACTTATATATTGAGACCGCCTCCGTGGTGTAGTGGTTAGAGCGGAAGGTCGCGGGTTCGATCCCCGACCGCGTCATACCAAAAAGACGTTAAAATATGGTACTTGTTGGTCCCTGCCTGACGCTCGGCATTAATGGGTACAACAAGGACTGGTCGGCTCGGAGTCAGTATAATGTGTCTGAGTGGGGTATTCATGCTTCACTGCGGCATTCTCAGTGGGCTAGCACTATAAAACCAGCTAAAGCTAGTACAAGCAGCCGCACATACACATACACACGCATGCACGTCGTCATATGAGCGAAATATTCTCAAGTACGACGTAAAACCCAATTTCACCTCACCTCACCTTATATATTGATATTGATGGACACGATTGAGGCTACTCTTGAAAACAAAGGTATTCCTTAATTACTTTCCAGGTTTCTTCGCAAGCTTTGTATTGCACTGTTAGTGAAAATCTTGGAATAAATGGAGAAACATTTATACTTTCATGTGTTCCCTTACTCATTCCATCATATTTGCAGCTTGAATATTTTTGCATTACGACCTCAGATCTTCAAAGTACTTAGTTTGGAAGTGACAAGGGCCGACGAGCGTGAAGGCGGAAACTGCACAAGATCCTTCCCAGGCCAAGTTAAAGGAATACATACACAATACGTATTCCATCACATGAATTATGCAGTAATCTGCATACAATATTTTTTAAAAGGCAATGTCTTTGTTAACTCCTGTAATAGATACAGTTTTAAGTTTCAGCAAAGACAGTAACTGCGTCATCATGTCACTGGGTTATTGGTCCATCACTTGATTGTCTGGTTTGTCTGCGGGCAGGCATCACACGGCAGGAGTACTAGTTAAATGTATATCGCAAATTATGTTGTCGTTTAGGCAAGGTGTGCTTGCATCTTTCGAGGAAATTAGGAATCATAAGTATTTTTCTTAAAAGACACTTACGATTTGCGAGTCATTCGTGTTAAACGTATGCAGTAATTCTTTCTACGCGCGGAAGTAGAGTTTTAGTAAAATGAATTTTGGATATCCAGATCATTACACATGTACAATAGTTAACAACTATGTCTTAATGTATCAATTAATTATCAAAGTGATAAGGATAATGAGAAGTATTTTCTTAGTTTCAGAAAGCAGAGGATGAATACTCGGGCACAAAATTCATATTCTGTCAAAAAGAACATCGATCTAGTTAACCGAGTTTCCTTTCTTGTTAACGCTTTATGTGTTCATCGAATCGTATGTTATGAAAAGAATAGTGTTATCCCCAACTAAATCGGTGAACATTATTGTATTTGTTATCCACCTTGTACTGTGATGTATAAATACATATTGCATGGAAGTGTTAGCATTACTTAATTGAAATAGAAATAGCTTTTCACAAATACATAAACTGAAATTTTGTACTTTTTCTTGCATATGTATTTGAAACAAAAACAGGGAAAACAAAAAAGCTTTCCTCAAATGTTAATCTGGTGTAACGAATGGCATTCAGAAACAAGTAATAAACTTTGTGTGTCTATGATATAAGCTTAAAACAAATTATCGACAATATTGATATTCCGCTTTAAGCCACGCTTCAATCAGGTTAAAGAAATAGAACCTACTTACCCCAAGCAGTCTTCTCTAAACGCCAAAGTAAGTCATTACAACCGAATATCATATAGTTTGTTGCGTGATATCGCCAGGAGCGTCAATAAATAACATCGCTGGACAATGAGAGGCGCAGTACCTCGTGAACTATTTGTAAAATTTTATAGAATTAGACTACAGTGTACCATCCAGTGAACTTTCAATGTCCTGTTCGCTATCATATGACATCACATAAACTTGCCTCAAGTCTCCTCTTTCTAAATGTACAGTGTTAAACTATTAAACGAGATTAAGTCGACATGATACTGAAACTGACACTTTTCCCTATAATTTTATAACAGGACATGATTCAGTATTAAAGCACTTAAAGTAGACAAAGTATCAAGGGAAACAAATAGAGAATCTCACCAAAGTGTCTACTGATATCAAATATACTCTCCTAAAAAAAGAAACGCATCATGAAAATAGCAATTTCATGTAGCAATGAATTAAAATGTTATTCATTTTACAAAAGGTTTTGCTCTGTTTATGAGTCCTATGGTGTTTATGTTTTGAAACATCACAACAAAACGCACCATCCGTAAAATACCCGTATTTAACAGCATGATTTTCAATTTCGGCGTGTAGTGTCACAGAATACACAATTCACATGCAATGCACGTGAAAGTTTGGGATCAGATAGTCTCAATGATGGGTATAAAAGGTTGATCGCTGTCTGTCGATTATTCACTGTATTTGGAATATTGTTGACGAACGCCAAATGCCAACCGTCATATCGTGAAGCCAACCGTCATATCGCCATTGGTTTGCTTGAAGCTGACCAGTCTCAACGTGCAGTTGCACGACGCATGAATGTTCACCAAAGCACCATTTCACGGCTCTGGTAGAGATATCGCCGGCAGAATGCGGTAGCATATGCCCCTCGTAGTGGGCGACCTCGAGCGACCACTGCGGCGCAGGATCGCTACATCCGGGTATATCACCTGCGTCATCGAACAGCTACGGCGACCTGTACCGCTCGACAAATACCCGGATTGAGGAGGCTTTCTGCACAGACCGTCAGGAACAGGTTGAGAGAGGCTGGTTTACGTGCCAGAAGACCTTATTTTGGCCCTGTGCTTCGACAACAACATCGTCGACATCGAGTTCAATGGTGCACCAACGTTCAGGCCTGGAACCTACCGAATTGGCGTAGAATCTGGTTCAGTGATGAATCACGATTCCTATTGGAACGACGCGATGGAAGAATGCAGGTGTACAGACGTCGGCGTGAACGTTTCGCCGACGCTTGCGTTCCCCAGGCGGACAGATTCGGCCGGGGAAGTGTTATGATGTGGGGAGGGTTCACCTGCCGTAGGAGAAGTGATTTGGTGATGATCCAGGGCAACCTGACAACTCAACGGTACTGTGACGAAATCCTACGCCCACACCTCCTTCCAATCATTGATCGCCAGAGGGAGTTATTCCAACAGGACAATGCCAGGCCCCTCACAGCATGTCACACTAGAGACTTCCTCCAGAACCACAACATCAATGTGCTCCCCTGGCCCTCAAGATCACCGGACTTAAACTCGATCGAACATCTGTGGGATGCCCTGGACAGACGGGTGCGACGCCGTAACCCTCAGCCCCAGACACTTCAGCAACTCGCACAGGTACTACAGGCAGAGTGGGCTGCGATTGCGCAACACAAGATTCTGAGACTTATTCGTTCGATGCCGAGGCGATGCCGTGCAGTTCTGGATGCCCACGGTGGTCACACGAGGTATTGACTTCAGCGCCACCACACGTCTCCATGTGACACTCAAACTGACTTTCCTCGAGTTGGTGCCAAAGACGGATAAGTCTGCATTCCCAGTGTGCAATTTCGCTATATTTCATTGACTCATAAAGCCTACAAGATGTTTCAAAATAAACATAAAAATACAGTTGAAATTCCTAAATGCGTTTCTTTTTGGGGAGAGTATATATCAACACGAGTTGATAAAGTTACAAATATCCTACGCTTGCCGAAGATATATTTACCTTTATCAACGTGTGTTGATATAATTGATATCAGTAGACACGAGGGTGAGGTTCTATGTATCGTCATAAATCACTCGTCATTAGTTTTCAATGAAAAATGTACATCTACGAACACTGTACTACCATTAGACTTGCAGTGCAGCGATGGCATAGCATTGTGACGTCATCGAGCTCATGACGTCATAGCATTGTCAGGGCATTGTACAAAATCTACTGTCAAAACGATATCTCCTGTGGAACACAGTTTTGGATGATAAATCCATATATCATCATAGGTGCAAACATGACTAATAATATGCGTGATGAGAATACCTGTGCATGCTTAATTTATGACAGGTAAATGCAGGTTGCAGAGGCTCGTGAAGTGTTTATGGGACATCAACATCTTAATATTGTTAATTCCTGTTGTCGACTGGCAAACAAACTGCATCTACAATTCAAGGGAATCATGAAAGAAGGACACAAATCATGTTTACTCGAAATATTTCCTGTTTCTGATTTTTAAACTAGAATTAATAGTTAAAAGGGAAATAGAAATTTTCATTATGCAATTTGCAAAATATTAACAACGAGTTTGTTTCCATAAACTTTAAAATATGGCCACATGTTGGGTCTAAACTGATACGACACATTTAACGGAGCCATGTTGTCACTCAAAGGGGCGGTAACTCACGTATGTCATGGGAAACAACTATCCCGTTTACCACTCGACTACTCGAGTAGTGGCTCTACCCGAATCGTATTCCTGTACGCGAGTACTCGTCTCAACCCTATCCAAAGAACACATGAAGAAATACAAAATGAATACACTTTACATCAGCTGACAACATGAGCATGTTGGTGGTGGATGAACACGTGTTTACTTATTTCACAACTGCGAATCTGAGAAACCAACTTGATTATCAAATTGTCAAAATACATTATTCACATCTGTGCTATATTCCCTGTCCCTCTTTAGATCAAGTGACAACAGAGATTGCGGTGATCGTTTTTGGTGGTGGTTAAAGGGAGGTAACTATAGAGGCCCACTACCTCCTGCTTGTGTATCATAGCTTAATAATTTGCACTGCACGATACAGTTCGGTTGAAGCAAACTTTTCGTTGCATGCAGTAGATATTATGTACATATCACGCACAAACCCTATACATGTACCTATTGCTTTCACTAACCATGCATACTAATGCAGCAACCATCTCATGCATCTTATTCAGTATCATTGCGCATCACAATATAGATAAAGCACATGACGTACATTCAAGTAAATAGACAGCACGAAGCAGTTTTCTGTGATCATGATGGGATTTCAAACGCACTGTTTAGCCACATATGTGTAACTCTTCTAATGCAACTATCTCCCGGAAAACTCCCGCCACAGCAAAATAGTCCCAGAGAAATAAATGGAGTGGCGGGGAAAAGTTGCCTATACATTAGTTCTATATGGGATATTATAAGATATACATCATCCAAGTGTTTGTCCCAGTGTCCAAATAAAGGCAGGGCGACAGAATTTCAAAAGGTTCACCCTTATTCCGAAATGGACATGCAATGACCTAGTATTTGAAAGTATTACGTTAAGTTTTCCATGCATACGATTTTTAAAGACTCAAAGAGCAAGGCTATTTCACTTAACTTCAACATGAATCATAAACTATAAACCACAGAGTGTTACTGTCAGTTATTGTATTAGAATGAAGGGGAGGGCACCAGATTAAAAGGGCGGGCACTGCGCCCTCCCATATATGCGTAGGGGAAGCACTACATACATATAGGCAAAATATATTTTCGGGATGTGTTCAGTCCAAACCATATTTGATGGATAATGCTAACAGCAATTTTGAAATGAATGTGGTCTGTGCTCTGAAAAAAGTGCAAATAAAATAAAATAAAATAAGATATATAAAATAAATATTTTGAAAGGAATGTCATCAATTAGAACACAATAAATGATTCAAAATTGCCCTTCACCTTGCCCATGGGGTGGAAGTGTGTCTTTGACATCATCATCCAATGTAATATTGATCATTCTGAAGTGTACGTGTATTTAATCTGTCAAGTTTCTAATGTGGTTTATCGTTTTCATTTCCTGGTGATAAGGTCTCACAGCCAGTGCGACAGCGACAACATGACCTTCGTTCTGCCCCTGCAAACATTTAATGTACCACTGGATGAATGCAGAAAAACTATTCAAACTTTGCCCCGTTGAGTTTTACACCACTTAAAAGTTAGCAATTTCTCATCCATACTGTGGACATCCCAATAGTCTTATTAAATACAAGGTCTTCGACGTGACTATCTGATCTGTAACCACAGAGCGCCACATGAAGATCTTTCTCTCGGATGATGCCACCATTTAATGTCGATACCTTTAAATGGCGGCGTCGTTCTTACACACTTACTGTTCATATGGGTGGTAGAAATTAATATAATGAATATAATTTAGTTTGAGAAATATCACGAAAGCAGGATGAAATTACTGTACAGTAACCCAGCCTCCGTTTTGACTTCCCTCTTTTCCTGAAACAGAATATAACGGAGTATTTTGGACTGACTACCGCAGTGGGAATATGTAAACACCAAACACTATAAAACGTCTTAATCAATAATGACAGCCAACTTTCTCCTCTCCTCCCACTGCTGTGTAGAAACTATTAACTCATTTACTAACGTCAGCTAAAATAAACTTGCGTGTTTGTTTTCTTATCTTTTTCTCATCGTACTCGGTGGAAAAAAATCGTAATAGCATTCTTTCTGAGTCGAGATTGTATTAGATGAAGCTTATATATGGCGCTTATAGCCACTAACGACAGTCTCTCTGATTTGGCTGAGGCACGTCATCGTATCCCCATTACCTACACAGGATAATATTGTGCAACGTTTTACAGGACGCCGTTATATTGAATAAATGTTGTAAAATCTGTTGTGATTTCTGTGTTAATAAGTATTGGTTTGTACGCTTTTCCTGAATGGGATTGTCATGTATTTGTATTATCCATTATATATGCATGCCATGTATAGCAGACCAGTTTGGATTGACAGGGGAAGCAACATTATTGCTTACACTGATACCTTAAGTTAGTATGTACGGATAGATGAGGAATTTCATTTAGAATGTGTTACGTGGGTTATAGTGAAACGGACCCCAGCGAAAACGGCCAAAATATAGATATA